CCTTTGATTTGTGCGATGATGAAGTGAGTGGTGTTGGGATCGTTGTCCAGGTGTAAGTCAATCTCATGGGAGGCATGGCTTGTTGAGCCGTCAAAGGCTGATATATTTCGTTGGCTGCTTGATGTGTACTCAATGAGTCCTGCCTGATCAGCTACTGATTTGCTGAGGACGTCATGAGTCGTGCCAGAGTCAATCAGGAAAAGGAGGGGGATGGGGTCTTGGGATATGGCTCGTGGAAGGTTTGGCACAGTCAAAGAGGTGTTGAGAAAAAGTCGGGGGTCATATTCATTGCGTATCATAATTTCACTAGCACCAATTTTAGTTGACAATTCTTCTTCCTTTCTGCTCAGGATAGGCATATCTAGCAGTCCTGAGCGTCGCCATTTTTTGACGAATCTGCTCTTCCTCCTCCCTTCTTATGGTCTACCTCCATCCTAGCTATATTCTCCTCTAATCCAGCTATTCTAACTTGATCTCTAGGTCTTCCCTTTCCTTTACTCCCCTCTCTCATAGTACAGAATTGTGCTATGTGACCCTGACCGTTGCATCTAAAACAATGACCCGTACGTTTCCGCTTCTCCTTCTCCTCCTCTGATAGTTGTACACGGGTAGAAGACACGTCCATGGCGTTAGGGTCAGGTGTAGGGGTTGTTGTGACACTGTGTGGGGTGTGGTCTGCAGCGGTGCCGTGAAGCTTGTTGTTGACTTTAATAGCAAAGTTACTGATGTCTTCCAAAGATTTGAATTCTTCGCGGACCATGACCATAGCCACTCGGACCTCCTTCTTTAGACCTTGTTCAAATTGACTGATCAACGTCGACACTTCCCATCCGGTATGGTAGGCATGCAAGTTGAATTCATGAACGTAATGAGCTACTGATCTGGTCTGGCGGAGCGCACAAATAGCTCGTTCTGACTTGGACTTCTTCTTGGAGTCAAAGTACATGGCTTCGAAATTACGAGTAAAGCGCTCATATGTGACATTTGCTGCTGTCTTGGGGTTGAACAGCTCTCGTGTCATGGGCTGGGCCCATGCGCTAGCCTCTCCACTGAGGTATGATAGACAAAAGACCACCCGGGATCAATCATTGGGGAACATGTAGGGGTAGGCCAACATGTATAAGCCAGTCTGGCTTGCGTACACGTCGGCAGGGGTCCCACGCGTACCATTGAACTTGTCTGGGACTGAGACCTTTGGTCCTTTCGCCCGTTGAGCTTCGGTCGGGTATGGGGTGCTTATGGTAGTAGCAACACACAAACCTGCCCGTAGTGAAGTGCACTACGGCCTCGGCGACGGTACGATGAGGTTTAATTTCTAAACCTCACCGTAACCGTAGTGTAGTCAATAATACTACATCTCCCCAGTGTCACTACGGTACGGTCAGCCCGTAGCGGACCGAACCGTAGCCACCGTAGCCACCGTAGGCTACGGACGACTACGCTCAAAAAAACGAGAAAAAACAAAAAATATTGATTTGAGAAAACAAGACATAAAGAAAATAAAAAAGGACATTGTACTCGATGGAACCGTTATGATGGTCCTCCTTTTGCTACTGGTTTACCTCATTATGGTCATCTTTTGATGGGTACTGTCAAAGTTGGTTTTTCTAAAATCTTTCATTCTCTTTTCTGATCGATCATTTAACTAAACTCAAACATTTTTTTCTCATAATAGAATATTGTGACTAGATTTGCTCTTCTTGATGGTCATTATGTTGAACGTCGATTTTGTTGGGATTGTCATGGATTACCAGTGGAACATGAAATTGACAAGAAACTCCAAATCAAATCAAAAGATGATGTGATGAAGATCAGAATCAAAGCTTATAATGCAGAATGTAGATCGATCGTGATGAGATATTCATCAGAATGGAGATCAACAATTGAAAGAATGGGGAGATGGATCGATTTTGATAATGATTATAAAATGTTAAATGTGGATTTTATGGAAAGTATGTGGTGGGTATTTAAACAACTTTGAACAAAAGGTCAAGTTTATAGAGCAAGTAGGGTAATGCCTTATTCGACTTCTTGTACTACACCACTTTCAAATTTTGAAGCCGGAAGTGATTATCATGATGTGAATGATCCAGCAGTCACAGTTTTGTTTCCATTATTGGAGGATCCAAATACTTGTTTATTGGCTTGGACAACTACTCCTTGGACTTTACCATCAAACTTAGCAAAACTTGAGGGTGTATACAAATACCGGAGTGACCGTACTGCACTCCGAACTACGGTGGTGATACCTCCGGAATACGGAGACAGCGGTACGGAAACCCCCCCTAATTACCTGGCGAATACCAGACTACGGTACGGTTTGACCGTAGCAGGTCGTACTGCAGCCTACGGTCTCCAGACCGTACCGCACCGCACCGTAGGCCGTTTTTCCCTGCGGTTCGGTTTGTGTGTTGGTAGTAGCTGGTTTGGGGTGAGTGTCACTCGATGCGGCAGGGGTTTGTCTGGCTGCTTCGAGTTCCGCGAGACGTCGTTCAGCGGCTTCTCGTGCTTGCCGCTCCTGCTGTAAAGCGATTCGATCGGCTGCAGCGGCGTTAGAGAGCTCGGCCACTTGGCGTTGGAGTTCCTCCATCCCGGTAGACTCGTTCGAAGAAATGCGGGGTAATGATGAGACTTCCGCGGTCTGAAAAGAAGTTATCGAAGATGTGGGGGTTTCCGGGGGTTCTGGGTCGCTATCGTACGGTGGTCTGAATTGCGGCGTCTTGGGTGTTGTTCAATGGTGCGGTAGCAACGTGGTGTGATCAGTTCGGTGGTTCAGATAAGGTTTTGAGTTCTAATCTAATAAGGTTGGTAGATCTTGGATCTTCTGCGTTCTGTCTGTTTCTAAATTTAAATTCTAATCTAATTCTTCTTTGTATGAATCTGTTTGGGTTGGTTTTAGGTGTGTTTCAATCTTTCTGGCATCCGTATAGTTGTTGAAATAGAGACTGCAATATGTTGTAGGCTCACACTATGGGACGGAGGCCAGGAAGGTGTCTGCGTATCTCTATATGGATTGCAGTCTGAGGAGAGGTCTACAAGGTACGTGCACATTCAGAGAACACTCTCTCTGTCTGTGACATGTGGTGCGTATAAGTGTCACATGTGGTACATAGAGCTTATAACAAAAAGGCAGATGTAAAGTTCAAACTTTGAAGTTGAGGTTCAAAGTTTCAAACTTGAAGTTTGAGATTTGAGGAATGTAGTTGAGGTTTTGAAGTGTGGAAAACTGCAGTTTCAACTTGATTTCCTACAATAAATTAAGTCGTAGGCTTGCGTAGATCTGAGCACGCGGGGTGCAAGATTTAACACAGCATTACGGACTGCATGTCTAAATCAGGTCGATAGTGGACCTGTGGGTATCTTAGCATTATGGTAACACTAAATCACCCAATCAGCACAACCATAGTGGGTGCTCTTATGTAGTCCCTATGGACAAGACAAGGCCTTGCTTATTCCCTCAGACTAAGAGTGCGTTTGGTGTCCTTCAACCTTGCAAGTATAGAACTGCAAGGTGTACACCTGTGGATCCGCAGGTTGACATGGTCTACCTTGAGGTGCGTACCTGAGCATGGTGCGTTTGGTACGCACAACCATAAGCAAACTCCAACCACAAGTTATGGGTTTGGAGTGTAGCCTCAAGAGTAAAACAGTCCTGGCAAGGCTTTTGTCTTTAATGTCCGTATATGCACTAGCCATTGCTGGATGCCAAAGGAACATTGTGATTATTCTTGCCCCAAAGCATCCAGGAAACCATCACTCTCAATCTTGATTGGTCCACTTATGTAACAGTGAGCTTGGATTCTTTTTTGGTGGCATACAGGTCTATGGGACTAACCAGGTCAACCTTGAGATTTGACCAAAACATCAAAATCTTGAGGTTGACAAATTTGGCTGGTCGACCTCGAGGTCTGCACCTCAAAGTTCAACCTGAGTTGTTGTACCAAACAGCAAATCCTCAAGTGTACATCTCAAAGTGTAGACCTGACATTTTGGCTGGGTCAACCTGTGAGGTTGACAGGCACCAAACGCACTCTAAGAAACCAGACTGCTTTTGTCTCAGCTCAACCAATGAGTACTCTCTAGTATACTATCTCCATTTGTTTGATGATGTGCGGCAGCTTAACTTAATCTTTGACATCATCCATACTCTGTCAAAGTTAATTTTTTATCTGTTCTTCCTTGTCCTTCCCCTTCTCGCATTCGATTGCTTTGAGTTTAATTTAATCAACCTATGTAAAAGCACTCTCATAGTCTGTCCTCAAGGGGATGTCTTCTAGACAACTTCTAAGGGTAGGTCTTTGGGATACCACCTTAGAGTAGCACTGGCAAGGGCCTCAAGACACTTGAACAAATTCTGGTCAGACTTTACATTTCATACAAGTGTACATTATGTTTTAAGTATGCCCCAAAGACACCTTTGGGCCAAAGGGTATCTGGATTGTCTGAGATCCAATGATTAGGCTGACACCCCAGATCTAGATGTAGTCTCAGTGTCCAAGGGCAATGGACTGTGACACCCACACAGCATCTTCTGGGTGGGCTGACAGTGTCTCATCTTGTTGGGGACTGTGCCCTAGTTATCCTTGGGGTGTGTTCACTTAAGCAATTTCTGGGGAGAAATCACATTCTGCAAAGTTTAAAGTGTCTATTTGGTGGAGCATCTTTCATTTTTGCAACAAAAATTTCACAGAATGTGATTTCTGGTCAGAATTTCCTTAAGTGAACATACCCTGGTCCCTAGAAACATATATCACCAAATGGACACTTTAAATTTTGCAGAATGTGATTTCTCACCAGAAATTGCTTGAGTGAATGTGCCCATAGGACAACCACTCCACCTGAAAAGATGGTTGTCATTCATGTAATTTCCAAGTGTCCTTATGGTGTAGTAATCTTTGAGTGTCAAAAGGAACCCAGAGTGGTCTATGCATTAAGATACTTGAAAATCTTCCTTGGCCTAGGAACCAAGTAATAGGTATATAGTGTTTGTATAACAATCAAAAGTCTTCCAATCAAACTCATTCAAACACTTGCACACAATCTCAAGTCACTGAAATCCTAGCCCACCAATCAAATCATCAACAAAAAACTTTAACATCAACTTTATCTTGTCTATTTATGTAAACAGGGGTTCATCCACAATAGTTTATATCTAGATATCTAACAAACCAAAAATGTAACTTTTCTTCTTCTTCAAAACACATTCTGCTTCTATTTCAAACACACACACACACACACTAAAAGTAAAAAGTTGAATAGAGATGCGGGATCAGGAACAAGTGGTAATAGGTATGTGTGTGATTTTTTATTTTTTTATTTTCGGAGATAGGATTTTTTCGTCTTTCGAATTTCGTCTTGGTTATCAGTGGTGATAGAGAAATCGAATTTTATGCAACTCCTTTGGCATTGGCTTTAGAAACCAACTTAGCCTTTTCAATTTGAGCGGCCGAGTTCTTAGCAAGCATAGACTTGTATGATTTGATATCGATATCCTATCATACGAGACAAGATAAAAACCAACGTTGAATAACAATCAAAATAACAAAAGATGTGGGATCAAAAGATAAATCACGTACTTGTTTGGTAAGGTTCATAATCTTCTTGTTCTTGACTTCCCAAAGTTCTTCGGCCACTTGTGAGATCAACCTGAAATCGTGAGAAACTACGACTACACCACCTTCGAATTCTTTGATAGCAACTGCAAGTGCATCGATCGATTCCATATCCAAGTGCTATTTCAAATGAATGAGACCTAGATTAAAAGTGATATTCAGAGTGAGAAGTGGTCAGATCTACTTACATTAGTAGGTTCATCCAAGAGCAAGATGTGAGGTGTTTCCATCGCAAGTTGAGAGAACACAACTCTGTTTCTCAAACCATCGGATAGCTGTCGAATAGGACAAGTCTGGTGAGCCCCAGACAGACCGAATCGACCTAACTGTTGACGCCAGAATTGGATATCTTTATCGGGGAACTGTGGATCACAGAAGAAAGATCAGTAAAGAAACTCGACTAAAAGATGCAATTCTTGGGTACATACTTTTTCGTGGTATTTTGAGTCGAAATATTCAATAGGGCTTTTATCGTAGGGTAATTGATCGGCTGAATGTTGACTGTATCGAGCAAGTTTCAATCCTGCATGTTTGCTGACAGACCCTTCACATGACATGAGTTTACCCTCAATCAAGTTCAATAACGTTGATTTTCCTGTCCCGTTCTGTCCTACAATGGCGATACGAGAATCCATACTGATAATTTTGTGACAAAACAAAGTCAGGCTAAAAGTGAAATCACAGGAGATAAGGAGATGATGACGAAGCTTACTCAATACCAAATGACAGATCCTTGTAAAGATAGTCATCTTTCTTTCCACTGTAAGAGAATGCGACATCATTGAAGGCAATGATAGGAGGTGGTAGTTTTCGAACGTCCTCAAAGTTGAATCGAAGTTGTTTCTTCCCTTGAACTGGTTGAATTAAACCAGCGGCTTCCATCTTATCAATAATCTTTTGCTTTGATTTAGCTTGTTTGACCAAGTTTGCATAGGTACCGGCACTGGCAATGAATTTCTTGATGTGGGCAATTTCATCTTGTTGCTTGGCGTATGCTTTCATTTGATTCACCTCGTTCTCAGTTTTAGTTCGGACATAGGTTGAATAGTTACCACCGTAGTAGACTAATTTCTTGTGATGTGTAAGATCCATGACTGTAAGATCGTAAAAAAATGGCATCAGTATGATTGTGGACGTGGCATTGATAGACTGGATGAGGACCTACTGTTGGTACATACAGTGTCCATGAAATCAGCTGAATGAGAAGTGATTACCAAGATATGGTTGTATGTACTAAGATATGCTTCGAGCCACACCACAGCTTCCAAATCCAAATGGTTTGTGGGTTCATCAAGCAAGAGAAGATGAGGTTTGATAAACAATGCACGAGCAAGGGCTACTCGCATACGCCATCCACCGGACATGTCGGCTGTGGCCTTCTTCATCATGGCTTGATCGAAACCAAGACCATGAAGAATGGCACCAGCCTTGGCTTCGAATGTGGCAGGGTCAAGTTCTTCAAGTTCCTCGTACTTTAACTCCAATGCCATTTGATCGACATCATCAGCCATTGACAAGTCTTCAATCTCTTTCTCAAGACGTGCAACTTTTTCCTTTGCAGAATTGACGATAAACTCGAGGGCAGTGACTTGTGCTGGCTCAGCTTCACCTTGAACGATATAGATCTAATTGAATTTATGTATTAGTGATTTGAGCATCAAAGGATACGACTAGATTTTTGAAAAAGAGGCTTACATCGATGTGAGCTGGAATTTCCACGTCACGTTCGGCTAGCGATTGCAAAAAAGTGGTCTTTCCACTTCCGTTCTCTCCCAAAAGACCATACCTGGTATAGCAGCAGTGATTAAGTCAGTAAATTAGAGCACAACTTCAAGCCATTGAATGGATAAAGATCTGAAGATGACTGACCTTTGACCATAATTCAAAGCGATCTCAGCATTCTCGATCAACAATCGACCGTGATAGTTAAGAGTATAAGACGAGATTTGAATATCTCTACTTTGAGGGTCTGAAGTGAGTACACCACTTCCAGATCGATCGGTAGCAGCTTTCAATTTAGCCATCGAATGACTAAGATCATCAGTGGAAGCAGCAGTGGAGGCTCCATTGGTAGGTGTTGAAGATTGAGCTGCCGAACTAGTTCCGGATGATTCTCCTTTAGCAAGGTTTTTAGCGGCCTAGAGAGAAAAACCCGATTGTTAAGTAAGAATCAAATGATACTTTGATTTAATTTGACCAACTTTTTCGGCCAGACGTTTTTGTTTAGAAGCTGAGGGTGCCATGTGAGTGAATTTATCAAATAATATGTCTTGAACTTGATTTGTCTATTGAGAGGGTCAAGAGATATAGAGTCTGTAGATGGTGGTTCAAGGTGAATGCGATGAAAGTCGGACAGTTCAAGTAAAATCACACTGAATTGGTAAAATGTAAAATACAGTTCAACTTGGTAATCTTTGCGGACTGCGCTTGGAGAACTGTAACAAAATCAACTACATTTTTTAAAACCGCATTCTCTCATTCAACTTCTCAATGACAATACGAATGTAGGAAATCGTGAACAAACAAAACCAATCACTCCAATGTCAAACAAAAAGATATCAACCCCAATCAAATCACCATCACCATCAACTCATCAAAATCGCAATTCATTTCTAACACCATCACCAACTTCTAAAAAAGATCTAGAGTCTTCAATCATCAAACGTGAACTGCGTCAAAAACTTGATGCCTTTTTATCTCTACGTAGAGAATGGGATGACGTTGTACTGTCACGTGGTTTGAGATGTGCCATGAAAATTATCGAACTTGAAGCTGATATAGAGTATGTGGAACTTTCCTCAAAAATCGGGTTCGAAAGGAATTGATCCGAAACTGGTGATTGGATTTTTCAGCGCTACGTTTCAGTATGCAAGTTTCATTCAAGCTTGTAAGGAAGAAGATGTTGAATTGATGGATGGTTATGCATGGAAACAATGGTGTAAGCTGGTCGATCGAAGGTCTAGATTAGATACTATCCTTACTGACATGGTGCGCCAATCTCATTTGTGTAACTCTCATTTAGAAGTTTGACGATCGTTGAGGGTACGTATGTAGGCCAAAGTCTACGAATCACTCGAAGGACTCAATGATGAACTCGAGAAGTTAATTCAAACAGCTTGTCGGCTCCATGGTATCAAATCTACATTCGAAATTCCTGTTTGGACAACATGGCCATTACCTCGATTTTGTATGTCACATATCTAATTTATTTCATTTTCGGACCCAGCCATAAAGATCTGACGTGAGGTAGTTTTGGCCAATGCAGGTGATCATTTGCTCAAATCTTCTGGACTGTTCTCCGATTCAATCACCCTTTATACAACCTTACGAGATGTGATCAACTCAGAAGAAGCAACACGTCAGGAGAAACAAGCGGCCTTGAGTTATTGGGCTTGTCAACCTTTACTTCCTGATGTATCTGAACTCAAGGAATTGTTATTGGTCGAAGTACCTGATTTCAGCCCTACCCAAAATTCTACTCCTCGTAACTCAACTCGATTAAATCAAATCACGAGCATCTGATCATCTACCCCTCCTGTTTTGGCGGGCTTATTGGATCGCATTTGATACGCAACGAGAGAGTCAGCTGAACATAGCACACACGACTCGAGTATTGGTTTGACGCGGTTTCAGATTTCTCTGCCTCTGTCAAAGATTAATGATTTCGTCAAGATACTGTGAAGGACTAGCCCCACGCCATCAAACCAGTCCTTCTTCACCCAATTCAACATTCTTCAAGGACTTGATTGCGCAGTCGTCCTCTGAAGACGAAGCATCCACCAATCTTTGTTGACAGTGCAAATAACTACGGGGTCTGAAAAGGGATCATATTATGGGAGTTCGCATGTATCTTCTCGATCAAATCTCTCTCTTCATTTCTTCATTTCACAAAAAGCTTTGATCATCTTCTTACAAACCCAAACCCAGTGCTCTGATTATAATCTGAATATGCTGACTGTGTGAATGATGATTGATTGAATAAAGCTCAAGAGCCTGCTTAAAAAGAATTTAACCATTAAAACATAATTATCTAGAGAGCTTGCCACAGATTGGAGCTATTGGATTGAAAGTGTTTCCTTTGAGTTGAGCAAAATCAATGAGTTTTAAATCTTCAAATGGACAAGTCTTGGTGGGTCATCAGTATTTCATTGAGCTTAAATAAGCCCTTCGCGAGCATCTTTATCTCGCCCTCTTCAAGGGGCCCTCCAGCTGTTAAATCCCATTACGTCACGTTTTCAACTGTTCCGCTTCACCTCTTGATAAAAGCATCCAGGATGAGTTGGTATTCACGCCTTGGTACACACATCATGGTAACTCATATGTTGGTCTAATTTGAAAGGCTGGATTATGATTTTGTGATGTGACTTTAATGTTACATATGTCTTTTTCCAACATCTTGATAGCACATCTCTAGAAGTGTGATGATGCCAGAAGTTCCGAATGTTGTGTTGTATCCATCAGACTGGTACACTTCAATTGAGCGAGTGACCTGTATGCGTTGATGAACAAGAGAGGATAAGGAGTTGAAGAATGGTTGCAGTGTTCATTTGGTGAATCCAGATTCCAAACCCTTGATTTGTTTTCTTACCTGTACCTCAATCTCTTGTCGCTCGTTCTTGAAGTTATCGGACAATGGGAAGACAAGTCAACTTGCGTTTGAGACCGTTGAAGACCTCGCTAGTGAATTTACCACCAATTTTGGTTTCTCAACTTTCCGCGCAATCCATCACACCGCAGTCTCTAGCGATTGAACTATCTCGAATCAATCCTAGTGAAGGCTCTAATTCGAAAGAAGAGGTCAACAATCGACTCTTTGTTGGATGGTCAGGACTTCCAACAACAGATCAACACGATACACATCTTCCACGATCTGGTCGAGCTAATGGGGCAGGACTCTGGCAAAATTCAACTCATCGAAAGAAAGATGGAACGATTGCGAACTTTATTGAGCCGATCGAGCTTGACAGCTCTTTGGCTGGGGAGATGGGATGGCAAGATAACGATCGATTGTCGATCAAATTTCATCATGGTATGACCGTAGCCAAGACCGTTCATGTGGATCCAGTGTCTGTCGATGATTGGGAAATCTTGGTCTGTTTGGCACCAATAACTTCAATTTGCTTCCATTAATACTGAGATGAAGGATTAGAAAGAACTGATTTGGGTGCTGATATCAGATGGTCTTTTCTCATTCCTACCTCTTATTGCAAAGTAGGAATCCAACCCACAATACCTCGAGGATCATTTCTTAACTCAGATTCGAGTTCTTGCAGAAGCTCAGACGGTCCTCGTATGGCTATATGGCAAAACTGTCATCCGAGTCAAAGTCACCTCAATCGAAACCGCTATCCCAAACCCAAATGCAACAACAAATACTCCCTACTTGATCACTAACGAGACTGAAGTCGCTGTCGCACCCAAACCACGCTTTGATGCTAAGAGCGAAGAAACTCAACGCCACCAGATTCTCGCAGGCGAACAGACTGCCGAGCAATCGATCAAGCCACAAAATGATTCATCATTTGACATTCGAAAGCATAAATTGAAGCTATTGCCCCATCAGACTCTCTCGAAGATAAGGAAAGAAGAAGCCCCCGATACCTATTCAACTGTAGCGGATGTTTCCTCTCAAGACTTTGAGGTTGATGCAGATCAGAATCCGATTATAAGGATAAATCCAATCGAGTTTCGACACTTGGAAGCCATATTTCCTTCTGCTCTTTGTTCACTCACCCTAATCCCACGACCAAATCAACTCGCTCCAGTCAAGTCATTGCACAACACAAGCTCTCATGAGCAAGAGCCCTCGACATCCCTATCAAATTCAAGGGCTACTCATTCGACTAAAACTAATGGTGTGGGACACAAGCTGGTCATTGCTGAAAGATCACGTGCGATGCCTGATCCCCTTGTACCTTTGGGATACGTATCTATTCCTTCCGGCCTACAGTGTGATTGGTTCGCAAACTATTCCTCTGATCTCCATTGCGTTCATCATGGAGATCACGAAATGGTCAAGTAAGTACCCCAAGTTTATACTGGGTCTGAGGAAAGCATAAGAGACTTGACTGACTCTTATTCCCATAGGCTTGGTCCTGCGAAGGCTATCTCAGAAGACACCAATCATCTTGAGAATTTGAATGGAGAAGAGTCCCCAGGTTCAGCTCTAATCACAAACTCGAAACCTCTCACCAAGTAAGATAATCCCAAGTTTTTTTGATTTTGCTGGCATGAATGCGAAGGTTGACATGAAAAATAGGAAGCCAGTCTCTTCCCGTGATATCTTGGCGGGCTTCGATGATCATATTGAAGCTTGTTACGAATATCTACGTGTCTCAATGGCAACAGCCGAGCTCTATATGACTGGTCCCTATCCGGCTTATGTTCACAGAAGTAGGTACATACCAGACTCAGCGTGAATGATACGCGCCATCTAATATACAAAATTTATGATCCTTTTAGTTCCAGGTCTGCTGGTTTGCGGATCTACAGGATCAGGAAAAACATCCCTTGTCAAGCATGTAGCTGATCTGGTTCATTCAGATCCGGAAACACTATTATGTCAGATTGTCCTACTTTGATATGTGAAATGGGCCATTGCTGCGTTGAATGCTATACAAGCTCATCTCATCATTATCGCGTGATTTAATTCAGATTGCAAGTATGTAGATTGTAAGAAACATGTCGACGATCGACTTGGAGTTCTGAAGGCTACTTTCAACGATTGGTTTGATGATGTGTTATGGCATGCTCCTTCGGTACTTATCCTCGATGATCTAGATTCACTGTTCCCGGCCGAATCCGAGGTAAGTAAGATTTTGAGACTTTCTAAACCAACGCAAACAGTATAACTTATTGTCTTTAGTGACTTCTTCAAGCACGTTGATTCATTCCGATGTCGACATTGGAGTGAAGAATTTGTGTCGATTGCGCGGGATGCTATTGATAACCGGATGGTGATCTTGGTTGGAACTTGCTCAAGTTCTAGCTCGCTTCATAATCTTCTCACCACCGGTACTCATCTCTTTGGTGAGACTCGAAATCTGAAGGGTTTGAATAAAATTAGCCGGAAAGAAGTGAGTCTTCTTCAGTAAAGCTTCTTCATCCGGAAGATGCCCCATCATAAAATACACTTCAAATGCGCATGTTGAGGGTGAGGGCTGAATGTGTATGAAATTGGACACTGATAGATTCTAACAGCGCTAGTGGATTCGAAGACTAAGCAGTCGGATCTAGATATCAGCTCTTTCAATCCCTTATCATTCTCAAGTGACAAGACTGAAGGCTATCAACCCGCGGATTTGAAAGACTTGGTAGATCGTGCAGTCCAACAGTCATTGATCAGATACTGCCGAGAGCGTGTGGAAGATAGATCTGGACCAGTGCGTGTATTCATATTTCGATACGCGCCTTGATCATAAGTCCTGATGAGAATCTCTCCACCCTCTTGATAGGTACGTTTGGAAGATGTCGACTTTGAAGAAGCTCAATCCGACTATATCCCTATCTCACTACGTGATGTGAAGCTTCAGAAGTCAGATGTCGAGTGGGCTGATATTGGAGGTAATGCTGTCCCTTCCATGAATCCTTCATATCAATCTGCACTGAGAATAACCGACTGAATTCTATCTTTTTCCCTTGCTTTCAGGCTTACATGAAACCAGAAGAATCTTGAGAGAGACTTTAGAGTGGCCAACTAAATATGCTTCCATCTTCGCGAAATGTCCGCTACGTTTACGTTCAGGGTATGCGACGTATTCTTTGAAGCACATCACGTGTCTTTAGATATGGTTCGACAGATTTGCTGAACTGATTCTCGTTCAACTAGGCTACTTCTATACGGATACCCTGGTTGTGGTAAGACCATGTTAGCGTCAGCGGTGGCAAAGGAGTGTGGTTTAAATTTCATCAGTATCAAAGGTCCTGAATTACTAAACAAGTATATTGGTGCAAGTGAGAAAAGTGTACGGGACTTATTTGATCGTGCTCAAGTGGCACAACCGTGCGTTCTGTTTTTTGATGAGTTTGATTCCATAGCCCCAAAAAGGTAAGCAAAAGTTCTTAGTCTGGTCCACTTTGTGAGATATGTGTATATTGACTTTGGTGTCATAATCACATGTTATCAGAGGGAACGACTCAACTGGAGTAACAGATCGTGTGGTAAATCAACTATTAACTCAGATGGACGGAGCTGAAGGATTAGAAGGAGTCTACGTCTTGGCGGCAACGTCTCGTCCAGATCTGATTGATCCGGCGCTCCTTCGACCTGGTAGACTGGACCAAAGCTTACTGTGTTCTATGCCTAATCAGGCAGAGCGTTATGAAGTCAGTCGAACCCCCAAGACAGTCATCTTAGGCGTAGCGTTTCCTCTTCGATCTATTGATCAATAAATTGAATTGCCTTTTATACAACCCGTTTGGTAGATATTACAAGCAGTTTCACGCAAACTCATTGTTGATCCTGACTTACAGCTGGAAGACATAGCTAAATATACCAATGGCTTCACTGGCGCGGACCTTCAAGCGTTAGTTTATGCGGCTCACTTAGCTGTTGTTCATGAACAGATAGATTCCGAAGCCCACCATATGCCAGAGGCAAATGGAACTACAGATACTCCCCTAGAGTGGTGCGAGATCTTACCACCAGAGTCTGCTCAAGATGGAATTGTTAAGAGTCGGGCTGAGGAGGAAGCTACAAGGGCCAGGGTGTGTGATTGAAAATAGAGATTGATATATGTACCTAGTTTATGCTGACGAGAGTACTTTGGGAATACTTTGCATTCAGATTGACCAATTGATCAACAAATCTAAGGGACCTTTGGAAGGTACCAAGCCGAGGAAGGCATCAGCACCGCCCCAGGTAAGCCTCTCTTTTCGCTCGCATGAGATCTGACAAAGTTGTTGATTCGCTTTACGGTTTGGTGGATACATTGGCTAAGGTCGTCATTAAACACCGGCATGTCATCAAAGCGTTGGAAGATGTACGACCCAGTGTTCCTGCAGAAGAGTTGAATCGTTTAGGAAGAATGTAAGCTTCATTATCTACAAATCCTCAGAGTATAGATTACTCATGATTGAGCATGATGTCTTTAGTTATAAGAATTTTGTTTCTGCTAGATCACCTAATGGATTACCAGATGGTGAAGCTAGTGATCAGATTGGAGGAAGAGCGTCTTTGATGTGATTGAAGGAAGAAAAAAATTACTTGAAAGAAAGGATCCCACTATTTAGCTTCTCCCCCCCCAAGAAAAACGCGACTGCTACCCGCTTCAGCTGATCCAACAGTTCATCAGCTAATTTTAAAACTGTACCAACATTGGTAGTAGCCAAGGACAAAGTCTTGAAATCCAGATGAACTAATTTGGCAGGAAGACCCAAAAGATTGTAACCAAAAGACATGTCTTTGTTCCATCTTTTGCTGATGTTCCCTATAGTATCATCACAATATAGAGTAAGTAGGATGTGGCAAATTACACAGCCATTTGCCCTCTTTCTCCGGGGATTTGGATTGCTTCCAGTAAGTCTGATGATGATGATGACTTTTGATATACCATTCCCCTCCGCTGCTTGATAGAGCTTCTGTCTGCCTTGCTTATTTTCACCTTTGGGAAAGTCATTAATTGTTCATCACAATTGATAGAAACTTGAATTCCAAACTCTGGCTCCTCTGATAATCCGGTCAGGGTGTGTCCTGGTTGGCCCTGAGCACTTTCTGAATGCCCTTGTGTCTACTCAGGGTCCGGCAAAGCCCCGGGGCCGGCCATGAAAGTTCAGGGCCAGGTCACGGCCCTAGCCCCAACCCTTGTGCCCGGGGATTCTTCTCAAGATACAGCTGGATACTACTGTACTCATTCCTTGAGTTGTCTCAATTGTGAGGCTTGGGCCAAACTTAACTGGGCTTAGGCCTGTCTCAAGAGCTGGTCCAGCAATGAGCCTACAACAAGAACTCTTCTTTATTTGCCTATTGCACCCAAAGTACACCGCACCCTCAAGGTTCAGGGTGTACCTTTGTTGGCCCTGATCAATTTTTGAAGCCTTATGTGTCAAGCCAGCAGCTGACCCGGCCGCGAAGCTACAGGGTTGGGTCATAGCTAAACTCATCCAAGTCCCACACTGTGTCTTGCACTCTTCAAGCTCAGCTTTCTGCTATGTACATAGCATTGGCATATTGCTGTGTAGCCACGGGTGCAAGTACAGGCCAATCAACCAGACCAACATAAGAGCATCCCCAGCCGTACAGAGGGTTGCACAGATTGTTGAGGGAACCGTTTGAGGTATGAAATTTGAAGCATGTACCACAGTGATTGCGAAAAATGTGCCAGGCTCCTGGTGAGCTCCTTTTCCAGCAATTCTTCGTCATTTTTGCAGTTTTTTTTGCGCATACTCAATAATTCAGTCCATTCCCAAAGTTGCTCAGTGAGCCATGATCCACTCAAGCATGAGTCCTGAGCTCAGCGTTCCTAAGCCGTTGAGTGCTTTAGATAACCTACACTCTACCACTCTGCCAAGTCCGACGGTCACATATGACTTTCTAGTTTGTTTTTTATCCCGGGCATGGCATCAAGCCTTGACGCTGAGGCTGAGCCAGGACAATGTCAAAGTCCCCCATCTTGATTTATGTTTGGTTGTTTTCTTGTACATAGTTGTGTGCCTTGTTATTATCCTCTTTCTTGTACATAGTTCCTACCGTCTTACATACATGTTCTATAATTGAGATACATGGATAGTTTTTGGAAGCAGAGGGGCATGTTAAAATCTTGCCATACTTACCACCCACAACTGAAAGGTTGGAGGGCTTTGGTACCAAGAACCCTCCAAAAAAGGCCTTCAATCTGGAGGGTTCTTACTCTCAGGAAGGCGCAGTTGTCTTTGTTCAGTGAGTATGCTGCTTATGCATGAATCTGGTGGTGAGCAACTTAGTCCTCAAACCCGCTGCGCCTTCTGGGCATCCTTAGACAATCAGAAACAAAGGTTGGGCCCGCCTTGCTGGGCTCAGTCTCACCTGCGCAGCCTGGGCGTGTTTTGGGGCAAAAACCAAAAATTACGCACTTTTTGCGGGGTTTCGAGCTCACCAGGTGTCCTGCGCATCTGTTGCAAACACTGTGTACAGCTGTGGTTCCCTGCAGTTCGGCTTGTAGCATCATTTGGGAGGTGTGTTATGGCTTAGATGATTATTGAGGTGTGTGATTTGCAGAGAGTCCAATTGTACAAGTTGGAGTTTATGGCGGCACGCGGCTGGGGATGCTCTAACAGCTCTAGAGATTATGTGCGACACATAAGGGAACGCATGTCTGTCATTAAACAGACAATCAATTGACAGCAAACCTGGTGTGGCCGCCACCATCAGCTTCCAGTCATTGAGCTGCAGTGCGTTTCAAGCGGGTTTAAACTGGATAGAGCTTGGTTTCAGAGAAGGACAGGGTTGGACTCATGGTTGATTACAAGAGCCTAATTTCACCGCATGAATGTATTTCAGAAGTGAACCGGCGTGATCCAGAAAGAGCTCGGGGTAGAAAGAAAAAAACACTGATCATATCATTCTTTTTCAACTTATATTCACATTTTGTTTGAGAGAAAAGGTTAAGGAAGTCGATGATGAAAGAGGAGACAGAAAATATAAATATGTTTCTTGCCAACACGGGATTGAATCGAGCGAAAAGTGGATGAGGTGATGAAAAGCGGCTCAGGATATTCAGATGGAAAAGAGCCAAACACCGACAAAAAAACATGATGGGTCTACACATCAGTCAACAAAATCATTTTTGCACCATAACTAATCGATCTAGTCGGTCCAGCCTGAAAAAATGCGATTTGTCAGGTAAAACTTTGTTTGAATATCAAATAAACTGTAACTCACATCTCGAGTCAGTGGGATCACACATTACTGACAAAAGAAGTTATCTTGGTAAGTAAACATCAAGATCTTGTGCAAAGTAAGAGGGCCATAAGCTGAAAGAGGTCTTTCAAGCAGACTCACAAAGCATTTCAAGTAATTGAGTGTCAGAGAGTCGGGCCTGTCGAGGTTTTGACTGGATCTCCTCGCGGGGACGTGTGAGCTAAGAATCCTTGGAAATCAGCTATGTGTCCAGAAGATTGAGCGGATCAAAAAATGAAAGCTATTGACTTACCTCGCAAGTTAAAACTGGATGGGCATGCAGACTTTCTCGTTCTCGACGTGACTGCCAACCTTGCTGTTCAGTTTTCGGACACTGAGCGGTTAGGAACACATTGCGCCCGTTCAAGATCAGATTGTTCTTTTCCGTACTTGATGTGGGTTTGGCAATTTGAACTGAATTAGTTGAAGCACCTGACATGATACAGGATGACATTTTATTTGAGGTATGAATGCGAGACTTGAAGAGGATATGCGAGCAAATTTGTGAATGAAGCAGTGGATTCAAGCTGATAGGATATAGAGTGGATTATGTAAATGTGTAGCACTGAAATACTTCCAGGAATTGCAGTTCTGTCAGGGTGTAATCAAACATGGTGCAGGAATGTGTCGAAGAGGTGCTCTATAAATACGTTGCAATTGATCTTGTTATAGGTTTGATTGCAATCGATCTTATCATTGCAGTAGCATATATCATCGCAACTTTCAAGATCAAACTTTTCTGACAATGCGCAGTAGATGATCAAGTCAAGAATCTAGATCACTTCGCGCTCGAGGAGATGGAAGCTTAACGCGTGGGAGTTTTGGAAAACCAACCAAGGGTGCCAGGGAAGGCCAGGGACGCACGCCTGGGCGCGATGTGGGGCTGAATGCTGATGACTTTGTACGTAAGCAGAAGTTCAGACTCACCTTTGTTCGATGTTTGTCCCAGGTGATTTGTCCCAAGGCCTTCTAGAATCTAGATCACAGCGTAGCTTCAGATTGTATCAAGTGACCTTAGATACTACATGCTTGCGGTGTCTCATTCGCGTCACGTGGAAGCTGTGCGAGATGGGGATGCTAGCGTGAATGCTAGTGTGGATGCAGTCTACATGCGGCATGAATACCGGTTCGATCGTAAGCATGGAATGGACCTGTGACTCGCGAGTACCCTGAGAATGGATGAACTGCCTCAGATGTGATAGGTGTGATTAAAACTTGAAGCAATTTCTTGAGATCTGATGACGATGGTGTACCGGTGAGGTGATGGAGGAAAACATGGGCACTATCCAAACTTATTCAAGTCCCTTGCTCTCGCTGGTTCGAGTGAGGCTACTCGTGAGGCGAGAGGGAGGAAAAGGTGCCCGCCGCGTATTGTCTCTCCAGTCTCTCCTGATATCGTTTTTCTGCCTCTCATCTGAGTTATACATATGTGGTACACAAATATCGTTCTGGAAATTTCCAGAACACTTTTTCCAGAACGCCAGAAGGTTTTTTTTTTGGTGTGTTCTGGCGTTCTGGCGTTCTGGAACTTTGAATGCCCCAAACTCCAGAATGCCCAACACCTGAGTACTGAACCCAACCACACATCCGCTAGCACACACCTCATACCACGCACATCAAACACCCTCCCACATCACTTTTCTCAACTCTCAGCACTTCTCGGTCTTGCATTTCAATTTAACTCTGCCTTTCCTCCTGCAATGGTTCGAAAAAGCCGACGTCGACTTCTGAAACGGTCTATTCACTTGGCAATTCACAAGAAGAATCAGTCACAAACAGACCTTTTAACTTTAGCTTTCCAGAAAAAGAGGAATTCTGAAAGCCTTTTCATCCTTCGGTGTCTTCAAGCAATCATCGTTCAGCAAAACTTACAATCCGAGGCCGTTTTAGATGATGAGCATGATGCCGATGATCGATTTGAGGCTAGGAAGCCACTGTACCTGTTTTTGCTGGCCGCGCTGGAATACCACTTGGCCAGTGCACAGTCTGTTAAGCTTGTGCTACTCGGTCGTCGTCTACGTCAAATCAATCAAAACGGACTCGATCGGCTTGAAGAGGCTCTAAAAATTTTAAATTCATTGGTTGGCTGGAGGTGGGAGTATGGTCGTCGATCACTTGATCCATGTTTGTTAGGCGGGGTATGTGGGGAAGCTGCAGCAGGCTGCAGCAGAGAGTTTATGTTGAATTTGTGTTTTTTCCAGAACACCAGAAGGCTTCCCGAAGGGTTCTGGCGTTCTGGAAAAAACCTTCTGGAAATTTCCAGAACGATATTTGTGTACCGTAATACATCATGTATGGCAGGGCGACCCAGTCAAGCTTAAACCTCTAGAGACTTCAGCGTGGACATTCACCACATTCACATATCATTTGAGCAATTTCCCCCAAGTCAAATCCAGCTCTCGGGTGAGTTGAGTTGATAATTCATGTGCAGATCATTGCCGCTCAACGTGGTTCGAGTCAGATTACAGCCGTTGTAAGATCTATCGGCAGTTTTTTGAACCGATGTGTCGTCACGGGATTTTACTATGAAAGTCAAAAACTCGAACAAAATCGAGTTTTAGACTGAAGTGTATTGTCCTTCTTTATGATGGGACAAATACTTTCTCATTTCCTCTTCCTAACTCTTTTCCACCTCTCTCTTTCCGGCTATTCTTTCTTCAAATCGATTACCGGAAAACCACTCTCTTATCGCCATGATGTCATCTCATAAGCTGCCATTTCCACTGTTTCGATATCTAGATTCTTCTCCTCCCTACTTTCCCGATTCCATCGTTCCATTTCCTTTATCATTGACCAAAACAATCTTCACATTTTCCATATCATCCTCTATATTCTCATCTTATCATTTGTTTAACCCAAGAAGAAACCGCAATTCGACGTCTTCTAATCCAAGTTCGTCAACTTTTTCCTTGTCGGATATTCCTATGTTAATTTTACTTTTTGGTAGTTTTCCAAATGTCCAATTCCTCATCTATGACGCCGGTCGCGACTCCCATGACTGGCCACATGAACACACGTGAGTATCAGTTCAACAAGTCCTGTTATGACTTTATAATCCACTGATTTGTTTTCCAATTTCAGTGTTCAAAAAGCCTGAGGATCGGGTGGTAGATGATCAGCTAGCCACGAGTATCAGACAAAATCCTTTACACCGAGTCGGAACTCTGGGTCGAGAGCAATTTGAAAAGAACAATCAGATGACGCTCGAAGTCCGCTTCAAGATCTACACGGACATGGAGGTTGACATCAACACTCCGATTCAGAGCACTCCGAAAGTCGGCGCTAGTAAAAAGTCAGTGAAGGCTGACAAACTCAACTTCATCAACTCTAAAGCTATCAACAGCGGCCTTCTAGAGTTCAAAATTTGTCCATTTGGAAAGAGTCTTGATGACTTCAAGGACCTGGTGGCTGGAGCGTGTGAAGAGTATGAGGGTGGTATGAAAAAATTAATTCTCAATAGTGTTTTTTCACCCGGCCTAAAATGGAAGACCACTGTTGGACGATTCAAGGTTGTTCTTGACAATGCAGTTCAATGGCAAAGTTTTGTCACAGCACTTGAGAAATCAACCAAAAAGAATGGAATAGTTTCTATCGAGAACGATAATATGCAGGTGAAAGTTAAAGTGGGCAATAAGGCGAGTGTTATTCTTTCTCAATTTATAATGTATTTCATCCTTCGAGAATACAAATCTAACATTTTGGAACAAATTGACAGGAATCGGCAACCAAGAAACTTATTGCTGCGACTAATGGCGAAGGGGCCGAAGATCAGGAATCTGAGGTACGTTTTGGCTATATCAAGATGTATGATGGTTCATTGAATTTTGGATTCATGCTTCACAGGAATCAAAGAACAAGAGAGAGTTAAACACCGTGGCAAACCAGATTTTCAGCCAACATGCCATCGGAAAGTACGCTGGAGGTCCTGGTACCATCTTGACCACACCTTGGGATCCAAACTATCGTTATTGATTAACTTACCCTGCTGCCTGGATTTGGGCAAAAGGTGTGGTAAGTACTTTTGCCACGTGCTCCACTGTGTATGAATCTGGTAGTGTCTCCAACTGACTACACTTTGTTCATGTAGATGGCGAAAATTGCAACTGTCCATATACCACCTAATACTGCCGAGTTCCAATACGAAATCGAGAAGAACCGATGGATCCACCCTGACATGGGGGTGGATGATTGGGTTGGACTTCAATTGAAAGGTAGTTCTCGACAATCACGATCAATGAATCATGTGTCACAATCAATTCGACACGCTCAGGCCGGCGGCTCCAGTTTGAATACCAATCTTCCAGGCGACAAAAACCATTGTGTTTCCAAATCCATCTCGGCGCCTGACATCAAGCCCGATTTGATGAATATTGGCAATAAACGCCCTGCCTCGATCTCAAGCAAGATAGTAGATATCAAGCCAGACCTGAAGAAGTACAAGGTAGAGCAAGGTGAGCTAAGTGCCATTGAATATCTACATGAATAGACGTACTTCTGACCTTTGTTTTGCTCCTGCTCCAGAACCCAAAATGTCGATCAATGAGCCGATCTATGTTTCTAGCGACTTTGAAAGTGACTGGAACTCCAATAGCGAAAGTAGCAGTATCGAGATCGAGATGCCACCCCCCTCCACCTCTAACTCAGTCGAATTCGAGCTGTTCCTGGCCGACTGCAACGTCGTGTTTGATGATGTCAACACTCGAACGCTTCTCAGAGAAGCTGGGATCCTTGCGTGGACTGACTTAATACCGAGTGTGCAACTAACTGAAACGAGTCTTACCTCCAAAGGTATTGACCGTCAAATCGCCAACCTCTTGATGGCCGAAGCTCAAGCCCGTTACCTGAAATGTAAGAGACTTTGTCAACATTCCAATAATCAAGCTGGGTACTGATAACTTTACCGCTTTTTGGGTTCCATTAAATCTCAGGATTTATGTAATACACCAAACCAGCACCTAGGACTGTCTCACCGCTCCATACTATAGTTAACTCAAATATTTATAACCCAGTGTGCCATCAGGATTGTTCTCGATATCAATCCTTGGGCGATATGTTTTACTTTTTTTCACTTTATTCAATGTATGATTAGCAAATCACAATATTATCAAAGTCTGACCCAGTGATATCTTATCAATTTTTTACTCTATTCAATTTATTACTAGCCAATTACAATATTATCAAAATATGACCGAGTGATGTCTTTGCTTTTCTTTTACTTTATTCAATTTATTATTAGTCAATTACAATATTATCAAAGTTTGGACGACTGAATGGTTTCTTCAATCTATTATCAGTACATCACAATATTATCAGACTATGAACAACTCAATAGCAAATAATTTCTTATTGTGTTTAATATGTTATGAAGTATATTTTTGTCCTTGCGTGTAAACAAAAAAACAGACTGAATAGCTCTAACAATCATGTTGTGAGATAGTTCTTATCGTGTGTGAGATATGTTATGAAATATATTTTTATCCTTGTGCGTAAACAAAGACGTTCAATTGTTCCACATGAGATACCTCAAATGGTATTGTACCACTGTACATTTTTCATCCAGTCTTGTTGTGGACTTGGCGATGAAAAGATAGTGGAGATACATCCATCTATACTTCAACAATATATCAAAAGAAAAAACAAGTGACTGTAACCACTTTGGGTCCATTATCATGATTCACAGATGAGCAAGAGATTTCGAAGGGGTTCTGATCAAATAGTTTCGTGACTAGATTTCAACACTTTCTTTTGTTAGCTATCACAGTCAAAGCCTGAGTACAAACTGGAATAAAAAATGTTTATAAAAATAACCATTCACATGATACTATAGTTAACTCGTGAATCATGAATTTAACTGACAACTTTTAATTGATACCAAACCAAATGGAAAACCAAAGAAACAATAAAAATATTCAAAGATATCGACAGCTCTTGAATAATTTTGTGCAAAGGGAGTCAGTGAACAAAATCATACATGCCTCAAAAATTGATGCTTTCTCCCCTGCTACATTAATCGCATGATGAAGAGCTCGGCTCCTTTTCAAACGAGACTTAAGCGGAGAAAACCCCAACTCGATTGGGTTGAAGTCAGGTGAATAGGATGGAAGGTAGAGCAGGCGGATTCCCCGTTCCTCACATAGCGCAGCAATATTACCTCCGTGATGGATTGGAGCATTATCCATCACGAGGACACTATTTCTAGCTGGCCAAGGATTCATTGCTGGCAACTAGATAATCAATGAAAGGATCAGTGATATATTGATATTCCCAAGCCATTAAACGACTGACTTACTAAGAAATTTTCCAAAAAACCCTCAAAGTCGATCCTTGAGTATCCACTCGGCTGGATTGCTAAGGCCACCAGGCCACCTAAAGAAATCGCTGGTAACACAGACCATCGCTGAGCCCGAGTTGGTCTTTCAAGCCGAGCAGTACGTTTGCCACGAGGTGCGCGTGCAAATTCTCGATAGAGGTGTCTTTTATTCACTGCGGTTTCGTCTATAAGAGTCACGATGAATGAGTTAAATCCCTTAGAATAAAACCAAAATAAAACTGATGCTCACCGGTGAAAACAAGACATTGCGGATCAATATCAAAGATCTGACCGATGTATGCACCTCGCGCCTCCGCCGATTGATTAGGATGCACGGTTCGAGCCTTTTTGCAAGTCCATCCAAGACGCGATCAAAGCTCATTTGAAAGAGTCTTGAGAGATACGGTAATTCCAAAGTGATTGGTGATCTTATCTTGAAGCTCGTCTAAAAATAAAGTGGGATCGTGTTCGAGCGATTCGAGAATAAAATTGTGTTGAGCTGGTCCTAAAATGGGGCGAGCTCCTTGCCTCATGTGATCATCAGGATTCGTGATCACCTCCCAAGTTGTGCGGTAAAGGTCAAACCATCGCCGGACCGACGTAAGAGAAACATCAACTCCGAGCGTTGAGACAATATCGTGGAATCGCATGCCGCGCATTACCATCCTAACAACCACCATCTTTATATCGGTGGTATAAGTATTGATGGGCATCTGTATAAAAGACCAATATCAGTATTGAGAGATACCAAGGAAACAAAAATCAAGAATACTCACGATCAAAAGAATATCCAAAGTGGGATGACAAACTGGTGAATCAATCGAGGAATTATCCAAAGTGGGATGTCGAACTGGTGAAAGTGGTGGTGGGACCGCACGGAGATATCAGAATTGAGAGGGACCAAGGAAACGAAAACAAAGAATACTGACAAATGAGTCACGATCGAAAGGATATCCGAAGTCGGATGAGGAACTGATGAAGGTGATGGTGGGAACAGATGTGACGATGAGGAAGTCGAGTGGAGGGTTTTAGAAAGTGGAATGAGTGGAAACCGGTAAACAGGAAAAGGAAAAAAAACATTAACCGGCTTTCGTTATGGCACAGTAGGGAGTAATGGGAACATAAGGAGAGAGGAGATCGTGAACTTACTTGTCCAATCTCAAACAATCTCGAAAGAGTTTTTCGAGTTTTGGACCTTGATGTTAAATCCGGCGACGACACAACAATCGCAAAATCTACCGACAGATCTTACAACGGCTGTAGGAATGTTCGCTCCTGGGACTTACACATATTCAACCAAAATCAGCCTAGGCGTCTAGAACACTACCTGACATTCATGTCACCATGGCGCGAGTGTTTGCTTTGAGATTCTTGCTGTGGTATGTTGACCCTCGATATCAAACGGCCAGGTAGAATCGCCATAAAGTCTCCTTTGCGATCGATTCTTTAGCAAATAATTTTTACTCCTTGCTTGATATCGAATAAAGAAGTCTTTCATTTATGTCTCTTTTTCCATACCATATTATCTTCCAAGTTTTTCTTACATGTGGTGATGCTCTACAATTGGATTTTATGTGTGTCACAAAGAAAGGTTGGCGACAGGGAAGATGGATTTGGTTTCAAAACATCACGACAGCTCAGCTTTAGTTCGGACGTTTGATTACAGTCAGTTGGATCACGTGGTGATGATATGTATATATAGCTGAGGTGTATTTCGGATTTCTTTTACGTTATCTTTTTTCTCTCATTGCTAAAGAAATTCCTTCACATATTGGGTTATTATACACAGCGTCACTTGCGCGAAATCCAAACTACGCGGCAGACTATTTAACGCTCTGAAGCGAGATTTTTGATTTTAGTATCTTTTGATTTATCTAGAGAATTGATGATGATTTGCGGCGAGTTTATCTCTATTGGTTCAAAGTTGCCGAACTTCTATCGGTAAAGGCCGGGAGAGCGTGCAACTTCTTCCGTATGCCTCAGCCAAGGAGAGAGATCTGCTTCGTTTGAGATCCAGCAGTCGAATCGACCATGAAACGGTAGGCGTTAACAACTGTGATCATGGCATGTGACAATATCTGTAAGCTGTCTTAGGTATCACATCCTACATGTGTTGTTTTGTTTCGCTTGCACTTGATAAACTTCTACGAGGTGAGCAGGTGCGAGGGAACCGGCTTAGAAGTTGAAATGAAACTTGCTGTACATTTGAGCTGTTGCAAACACCGTGATTGCGAATGATTTGATGTGAAGGACATGTGTGTGAAGAGCACGCGTGTCAAGGACACAGTTGCTGCATACATTGACCCCTTACATATCACGCCCAAGCATCAAGTGGTTGGGATGGGTGATTCTGCTGTGGTGATGAGGTTTCTATCAGGCTATTCAAAGCTTTTCTACCACCCCCTAGATCTACAATCTATCCTCAGCAAGAAGTTCATTGTTTTAATCAGGCTTGACGTACAGTTGTATGGACCTTGATAGAGTGGGCGCGGCCGCGTGGTGCTGCCTCAGACACCTCCGTCGGATTACCCAATTATTCTAAACTTGAACGGGGGGCTCCTTGATGAAACTCCTTCACGTTGATTGGTCATGAAGGTGGTTGAATTGATCTTGCGTGGTCAATCTTTCGATATATAAGCCATAAGAGCCTGGTGCTTTGACCTACTCACCCACCTCTTCTTTGCCAGTCCATTCTTTCCAAGCCATCAACTTTTATTTCTTGCACATAGTACATACTTTCTCCTCTTACTTGCACATAGTATTTTCTCCTCTTACTTGCATCATCATTCTCGCACAGCATAATCAGACTTAGTCTCTACCTTCCTTTATCAAACTGCTAGTCTAGATCTTTCTCTATTGTCGAAAGAGTGTATACCATAGTCAACAAATCGGTCATTCTCGAGAAAATCAAATTAGTAACGAAATGTTGATCACTTACCTCTCGGCTATCTTCATCTACGCTCAGTTGGCTCATAGTTCATCAATCAATCCTCAAACCGCTTCAGAACATCGCCTTCAACCACGTGATACTCAGAATGCCAATGTCTTATCTGAAGGCGTCTTGCTCCACAAACGCGCAAATGAAGTTGCCGACTATATTCCTAACATAATCAGTGGATCTGACGATGGCGATGACTGGGAAAACCCCGGTAGACCTCGTAGCAAACGATCAATTGACAAAAAAATCGTGACTGAGGATCCAGGGAAACCCGGTATTTGGGGTCGTTATCGAGTCAAACGAGGGATTAAAACCGAGATGATTGGTGGAGATCATGATGGTCTCATCGGGCGTCGTGATCGAGTCAAACGAGAATATAAACCCGACATGATTAGTGGGGATGTTGATGGTCATTGGCGTCGTGTCCGAGTCAAAAGAGCAATCAGCACCAATACTATCAGTGGGAGTGCACAGTGATTTGGACTTTCACGCTTTCGAGACGGCTCTTTAAAACCCAAGTAAGATTACAACAATTTGATTGTGTCCGTTGATGATAGTTGGCTGATAGGCATACTGTTCTGTTTTTAAAAAGTTTCACGTCCGTCTGTCAATTTGGATCCTTTCTCGGTCTTTCAATGAATTTGTTCGGTCTGGCATTGTTAGGAACCTTCGGGCAGTGTGTTTTGGTCTCATAGAAAAAATCTCGACCCTCTCAAGTTCAATGTTCCCTTAAAAATGAAAATGATGAAGAGTATGATAAAAGATGTGATAGTTTGTGTTAAAAATCATTCGTTTGTTAACCAGACTGCCTGGAGCGTTTATGAATTTAATCAATGTTTCCCCTGGAACGCGAGCGATAAATGTACTTCTTGCTCTCACGCAATTGGAATTGCATGCCAAGTTGCTTTCAAGTTTCTGTTGTACTCCCTCTTCAGAGTCAACTGCCTTTGTGAATGTTCGACTCCTATCTAGTCATCCGTGAGGTATTGCGGACAATTCAGTTTCACCTCTGATTATGTCAACTCTGGCTGATCAGGAGAGTGCTGACTGGTTTGACCAGAGGCCGATTGACCTTGTTTGATTAACTGAAATATCAGCTCGTTGGTCCTAGGTGGTCTGACTTCCATGCATCAAAATTCCGGTCTGATTGCACGTCATCTTTGAGAGCTTCTGAGAGTGTGGTCTGGCCCAGAACATCTCAGACATACACTTGATCTACCTTGCTGGTCAGGATTTGGTATGACATCTCAATTTTTCAATTTCGCGGATTATAAGAAGAGCATGAATGGCGGCCACTTTTCGAGAATCCCATACAAAAATATTTCAAGGCACTAACATTTAAACCCATCTCTCAACCCACTATAACAACATACAATGCATACTTCTTCAATCGTCTTCGTCGCAATTTTCCTTGCTAGTTTCAATTTCATCAATGCGCTGCCACCTTTATCATACGGATTCAATAGTCCCATGCAATCTTACAACGAGTACACCACCACTTCATATAATAGTGATCAAGGAGCCTCACCAGTGACGACCACCGTCACACATGGAATAAATGGCCTGCCACCGGTCACCTATACCACTATTTCACCCTTACAATCCCTTTACAACGTTCGACGAGGAATTCATTCACAAGGTGGTGAGGGAGGTTCAGATGATAATCCGCCTGTATTCATGCCTGATGCACACTCTGTGCCAAACCCCATTGAAAATGTCAGTACTGTGACATCATTGATTGGCCTTCTTTATCTTACGCTGACTTTTACTTTTTCTTAATTTTTCAAAACTTCATAGTCAAGCGAAGACCCAATTTTTCACTCTGGAGAAATGATGCCTATGATGCAGTCCGATGCAAACAACACTATGCCCAATGACATTGCCCTTTGATCTCTGCATTGTATCGTTTCTTAAATTATTCTGTTGATATCATCATATACCTTGTAGCATTTTTTTATTAGCTTGACTCATTACAGAATCCTCATAGCTTTCCACACCAACTAGGTGGCTTGTACTGATCATTAATCATTGTTGTATTAGTCGAAAGAGTCACAATAACCCTTACCTTGTTGAATTATATCGTACAACTCATCTTCGTGCTGCGCAACATGAATGCTCGTGTATTTCTTGCAGTCCGGACGCGCTTTTCAACTTTAGTGGTATCCACCGTGTGAACCTCCTTCCCTTGCATCATCAAGCTCTATTCCCCCCACCTCAGAATATCACCACAAAGAAAGTTGATCTATAAAGCACAAAAAAGATGCTTGATCAATCCCCAGCTGCCAAGCGCCATCTTCCCCACCACTATGACCCTCATCAAGACCTGGGTAGACACCCCTACAACGGCCAGTCGTGTCTGAATTATGAATATTTCAAATAAACAATCACGTAGGGGTCCAACAGGTATTATGTAATTCATTGTTTGTTTCAAAGTGTATGAAGTTGATTAGATTTTGTTAAAAAATGTTAAATAAACATGAATTCACCTCTTTTTTGACCTGTTCTAAAACCAAAACCTCCACCCAAAACCCCTTCCCAACCAAAAAAGTGTATATGATAAGAAGAAAAAAGTATAAACAAATCCCCACATTAAGTCAAGAGAAAGTGATGTTTTAAAGATTTTAGTGCCTGGAAGATCAAAGTGTACCATAAGTTAAAAATGATAAAAGGTGTAGGAGGATTTGGAAAAGGAATGATTTGTTTGAAAAGTTTAAGGTTTCTTCTTATACTTGAAGTTCATGAGTTAGAGATAAGCAGTTCAAGGAAACAAAACAATTTAAATTATGCAAAATGGTTTCTTGAGTCTGAGTCTTCAGAGGGTTTTTTTGTTCATCTCTTCAATTTCCTTTCTTAATCAACTTATACATGTGTTATGATTCCAAAACATTTAATCCTACCTATGTACCCATTTTTTTTTGAAAATTTGCAAGGTCTTCTCAGCCAGTCAGTAATCAAGAAAAAAATTCTGATCAAAATGTACATACTACAATTTTTTTACTAAACCTATAGTCCTTCAATTTTAATCAAAGTGTTTTCAAAAATGGTATATGTTAAGTTTAGATAACTCTTCAGATTTGAAAAAAAAAGATTTTAATAAATGAAAAAATGTAATTTCTATCAAACAAAGAATAAACTTTTTTAAAAAAAAAGAAAATATAAATATGTAAGGTAGTGTAATAACTGGGTAAAATTGATATTTTGAGAAAAAAATTAAAAAATGAAAATTGACAACAAATCAAACCACACAAAGAAAAAAATCAAATAAAAATAAACACTTTAACAAAGCTACACACGTATCACAAAACAAAATCAAATCAAATCAAATCACACACACACATCACATTTCCCAAATTTATTTATATTTTTTTTCACCACTCAATTTCTAATTATTAATGACTCCTTAAATCCTATGTAATCAATCATAAACCTCAATAAATCAATATTCATAATCATAATCAAAAAACCAAAAAAAAAAAAAAAAGTTTATGTTTTTTTTCCGTTCAAAAAAGTCTGGTTGGGTAAGTAAAAAAAACAAAAAAACAAAAAAAAAGATTATAATCTAATGCGAAAAAAAAAGAATATTTTAAAAATGAATAAAACGAAGGAAACCATAAACACACAAACACACACACACAAAGACATCATGAATCAACAACTTGTAAAAAAACCCCACCAAAAAAACAACATGAAAAGAAAAACAAAAGAAAAAAAACATTATATAAATAAGTCATCTTTTATACGATCATAAAGAGTAAAGAGTTTTAAGATTTAAAATAGTTAAAGTAAAGTAAAAGTAAAAGTAACGTCAAGTATAAGAAGTTTCTATTAAACAAGCAATTTCATATAAAAAAAATAAGGAAACGAAAAGAAGATTGAAAAGTTGATTTTCGAGTTTCAAGTTTCATTTAAGAATCAAGTATCATCCTTTTGCTTTTTGAATAGTTGTCTATATCAAAGAAAAAAACCCATCACCGTCATCATCGATTTTCAGGATATCCTAAAAAATCAAAATCAATCTTACATCATAACTTCTAATCAATTGTTCTTGTCCTTCTTCAGTTTGTGAAAATGCAAATCCTCTATTCCTTCTCAACCTTTGAACTGCTCTAACTTTCTTAATAGCCTATAGTTAGTACAAAAGAAAACACCCAGAAGAAAAAATCAATCAATTGTGAAAATCTCAAGTTTGATTTTAGTCTTCAAATCGACTTACTTTTTGAAATTGTTCCATTCTTGGTCTATAATCAGGTAAATTGAATTTTTGAATTTCTTGTACTACATGATAAGATTCAGGTCTAAACAATCTCTTATAGCTAAAAAAAAAAAAGAACATCAAGTCCATCAATGATTTCTTACTTCAGATCATCAATCTCAACCATCAATCAATCAATCAAATTCACATACCCTTTCCAAGCCAAATCTCGTATCAAACAAGTCACAGGAATCAAAAATAAAGCTAAATAGAAAACAGGTGAAGATAACATTCTAGGCATCAAATTATAATACTCTTTACTAACTCCAATCTTTGGTGCAATCGTAGCATAGAGTGGTAAGATGATCATCGTCAATGCAAACGATCCTGGAATAGCTAATAAAGTCCATTTGGTCCAAAGACTTGATTGACAAATCAAATAGAAGACATCAGTTTTTCAATCATCTGATCTTTTTTTTTTCCTGAATGGAATTCGATTTCCAAAAACTTACTCTGATATTAAAGCTGCTTTTCCTAATACAGTCATCAGAGTCACAAGATAAGCAGTTGTACCCCAAACCCATTGACCCGAGATCCAACCCTGATTAAGAATCAAATCTTGATTGAAGATCACAGCCGTAAAGAAGAAGATGATCTAGTAAAAAAAAGGATCAGATGAAGTCTGATTTTTTTGTATCATGATGTTCAAAGGTACACTTACGATCGAGTGAAAGACAGCTGTAGCCACCCATTCCCAAAATATCCTTCTAGTAAACTAATCGATCAAACCAAGCATAAACTTAATTCGTTGACCAACCCATTTGAAGGTAAGTTAGATAGAATCTCAACTTACAAAAACATTTCGTTGACCTAGTGTATATAATTCAGGATATCGATCCAACATCCGAGCACTAACAAATTGATCAAAGACACCCAAAACGAATGGAGGCATCACTAGATAAGGGTTATTAAACATTAGCTAAGAGTTGAACAAAGAAAGGATAAGGTTCTGGTCTTGTATACCTGTGAAGATTACATTATAAAACGTTAATGTCCATGATTCAAATAAAACTTGACCGGAAAATCCATTGACAAATGAAAACTATAAATATCAGATAAAAAAAATTCATAAATACACACTAAATGGAAGTGATGTCACAAAGGATTCTCTATGGGACTCACATAAAACCCAATGAGATACAGTGTGATATTCTACGAAAAGAAATGTACAGAATCATTCTCAGCCACTTATGAAATCTTTAACTCCTAATGTCACTTCTTTAGAAACACAAACCTTATAAAAACTATCAAAGCCCAAAATCCAAACAAAAACAGTGATTAATACTAAGCCTTAAAAAGGTTGAAACACTTTTTGAATCAAAGGTAAACTTACGAATACAAGATCAATTTACTTAATCTAACATAACTCCAAGTCCCATGAACCAATAAAAGTTTTTTCAAAAACCTAAATTGACTAATCGCCACATCTGCCGATCTAGCAGCTTGTAATCCTTCTACACCACTAATCCCCACTCCAACATGAGCCGCTTGAATCATACTGACATCATTGGCTCCATCTCCAATAGCTAAAGTAATTGAACCTTTTACATTCTTCTTCACCAGTTTGACTACTAATGCTTTTTGTAATGGTGAGACTCGACCTATTGAAAAATTCAAAAGTTCATAGAGAAACATTAATTGTAAACAAACGTTATCATTTGTGAAGGGATATAGCGAATATGAAAAATTAAGATGAGAGTCTTACAACACACAACTGCTTTACATAAAATAGCAAGTTCTAGAAAAGACTTAGACATAGATCGATCCAAAGCAAACCCTAAACTTTTTCCATCTAAAAAAACAAAAAAAAAACAAAGAACAAAAAGGCGTTGGTCAAAAAACCCCGATTACAAGGTTAAGAATTCCGAAAGAGATGAAAGATTACATACCAATCACTAAAGCTAATTCTTCTAAATCGCCCACATTTTTTTGACTTTTGATGGCCAATAATTTCTTATTAATAAACTCATTTGTTGCATCTGATGTTTCTTCATTCACAATCACTAAACTCATACTTTCAGAAATCAATTTACAACTTAATCCGATATTGATCGCCGTTTCTTGTCGATCACCGGTTAGGACCCAAACTTTGATACCAGCTTGTTGTAATGTATAAATCGTATCAGGTACTCCTTCTTGTAATTTATCTTCAATAGCTGTAGCTCCTAATAAAAATAAATTCTTTTCAATCAATTCTGATGCTTTATCTAATGCTTCTGTACGTCCATTGACTGTTCCTGCTGCTTTATCATATATAGCTGACCATGGTTTATATTCTTCTTCTGGAATATCTCGCATCGCAATACATAGTGTCCTTAATCCTTCTGTAGCATATTCTTCTAGATGAACTAATGTTGAATCTTTATATGGTTGATGGGCTGCACAACGTTCAAGGATCACCGTATCAGCACCTTTACAATACAGCTTGATCTTTCCATCCGGTGCACGGACAATTGATGACATCCTTTTACGTGTACTATTGAATTCGAGAATGTTGAGCACCTGAAACTCTTGTTGACGCCCATTCACTTCAATCATGATAGACTGAGGTTTACGAACCTTTAAGAAAAAAGAAAAAAAACTATCAACGATCGTGTCAGGATGTAAAGCGAGAGAATCACTGACTGTAAATCGGTGCTTCAAAACTTCTGCACCAGCAACTAGAGCAGCTTCATCAGGACTACTAGCTTGATAAATCACTTTCCCATCCTTTTCTTCAGGAATCACCGTATGACAAGTAGCCAATAAAGTTAAAAACTCAGATAACACTTTACTTCGATCATCTCCTTTTTGTAAGTTTTTAGCTAAATCATCAAATGAAAAGACTTCTCCTCTTTTATGTTCTTCAACTATATCAGCATAAGCAATCCCGGCTACTGAACATTGTCTGAATTCCATTTCGTTACGCGTAAGTGTTCCTGTTTTATCTGAAAAGACATATTCGATTTGGCCTAGTTCTTCTACTAGTGAGGATGTTCGACAGAGAGCGGGTGTATCAGAAACTGAATAGTACATATCCAGATCCGAATTGATCAAGACTGCTTGCTGAAACTTGACCACTTCCATTGTCACGATGAGCCTATCAATGGTCAAACATTGGTAAATCAGACCCTCAAAGATCCACCCTAGAGATATAATTGAACAGGATGCAAGAACAACTCACGAGATAGGGATAAGGTTGTTATAAAGAATGATGAACGTCAGGATATCTTCGATAAACGTCGTCAGCTTGCCTCCCCCTGCAGTCGCTGGTTCCAATAGATACCACATTTGACCACTGTTTGAATACTACCAAAAGGAACAAAAACGGGCCATTTAGACACTAAGAATCTCAGCGATATGGAATACAAAAAACTCACCGTTCTGATGAAACTTCCGGCAGAAGACCCAACAGACAAAACCAGTAAGATGATGAACAGAAACACAATCTGCACATTCACCATTCGTTCAACTGCTGTTCGCTTAATAGGTGTTGCCCTGTAAGATATCAATCAAAAAAGTATGATTACTTAAAGCCAGATGAAATGATGATAAAAGATGCCAGTAGGCTCTCGCGAGCGCAAGACCCAACACGCACGTTGCATTCCTCATCAATTTTGTTTCATGACCAGTAAACACAACCAAACCATACATCCATGCTGTATTCCGAAGTTGAGCACCTCTCAATAACATCTGATCAGGACTGAGTGGGATATCCTTTTCGCTATTCCCATGCGATTGAATGGTTAAGGTACCTTCATAAGTATAAAGTGAGTTATTTGGATGTTCAGATCGAAGGTGACCACTCAAGCTGGCGACCATAGAAGGGCTTGTCAGGTTACTTGTACTAGGATGAGCTTGTTTGATCTTCAAGTTTGTTTCACCATCTAAATTACTTGTCTCAATGTAAGCAAGACCATCCGGTTCAGAAGAGGCGAGCAGGACGATATCTGCAGGGAAATGTTGATTTGACTCGAGTCGGACTACATCTCCTACTTTGATATCACGCCAAGGCTTCTCAACAAATGATGAACCAACAAGAACTTGAGCATGACGTGCATTAAGTTCTGAGTCTGAGTTCCGACGTTTGATGTCTTCTGTCATTTCCTTAAAGGCTGCTACCAAAAGAACTAGAGAGAGGGGTGCGATAGTAGTGTATTGATTTGTGGGGGATACGTTGGGGATTTGTTGAATGCAAGCGGTGAAGAGGAAGAAGAGATTGGCGTATTTACTGAATTGTTCTGGGATCAAGAAGAAAAGAACCAAGTTAGCATATATTGATACGAATGATGTGATACCCCAAAACTAGTGGAATGAAAGATACGTACCTAGAAGAAACTTGGGTAAGAATGTGACCACATTATACTTGGTTGTACTAACATAGTTACTCATGTACTTGAATTCGCGTTCATTACGAGCTACATCGTTGAGGTATATCAGCCGTTCTCCAGTGAGCTCCTTTGGCTGTCTACTGAACAGATCTGTGATCCTTTGCTTCATTGACGGTTGTTTAGTTTTCTGTTGAGCCCATTTACTTGATGTATTACTCGGTCCACCAGGTGCATCAACAAGCGGTATACTTCGAATACCAGATAGATCGTCTTCATAATCATCTTCTAATGCCCACTTCGATCCTTGAGCTGAAGGAGGTGGAATGCCAGCTGGCATGGCTCCTGTGTAAGAAAGTGGTAAACCAGATTCCATAGAACTCGAGTTTGGAAGAGTTGATCGACGACGATTGGCTAGTGAAGCATACAATCCATTTGAGTTTGAACTCATATTACGATGATGTTCCTGAGGACTATCTGATTCGTCAAAGAAGGGTTGATATGCAGGTGCTTGTTGACTATGTGAAAGATCTTGCATAGTACCCAAAGGGTTACTTGGATTACCACCGCTATACGATGCGGGGTTTTGATCTTGTTCAAATCCTGAGATCCCGGTTGAAGTGGATTGATGTTTTCGTTCAGATTGAAATACAGTATCTTCTTCGTCAGCTGGACTATGAGGATGATAACCTTCTTGAAGATGATGAGAAGATGAATGATAATAAGGTTGATGAGATTCCAGTGGGTTTTGATGGTATTCTAGAGGAGAGAAAGGATCTTGAGGAACTTGACGAGAAGAAGGGTTCGAGTTAATTTGAATAGTAGGTCGATATTGTTGATGTTGTTGATGTTGAGAATTGAATGCACCGAAATCGTCGTCTGATTCGTCGTCGCCCAAGATGTGATTTGACATCACCACGGGTCGAAGGAAATAGATTGAGAAGATGAATCGAATTGGATTGTATTGATATTTGAAGAATGGTTGATCAAAATGGATGAATCGGTAGTCTGGTCTGAGAAGCTGAAACGAATCTAAATGACTCGAATGGTAACCGATGAAGGTCTAAGTTGAGGTACATACATAAATCGTTTTAGATTTTACCAGTTTCAATGAAGTCAAGACTGAGACAACAAGGAGACTGACACTCAGACTATTAAACAAACTGAGACTGAGATTGAAGGATGCACTTTAGCTTTAACAAGAAAGAACTTCCAAATCGTAATCAAATCAAAACTTCAATTTGCCATATCAGCTCATCACTTCATCTTGAACTGTAAACTCTTCAAATCACCAAACTATCAACTCAAATCCAATTCAACTGCTTTCTCTCTTTATCAATACCCAGCATCCAAATTATGTATCAAGCTTTCAAAATCACATCCTTCACTTCCAGCCCAAGCCAAGCTGATGATCTTATACCAATTCTCTTGCACAGCTTGAGATGGTAGTCTGTGGCTTCTTGACTCGCATCCCAAGCGTCCTATTTAAGCTTGGAAGCCAAGACCCTATGAAGATAAGTTCCCTTTGGGTTCAAAAACCATCTTCTGTTTCAAGATTCAAACCGTTCAAACAATACAAAAATAGCCTTCATGGGGTCTTTGAGACGGGTTTCAGGCTTGATGTTTTGTCAAAAGGATCATCTCTATCCTATGCTTTTGGCTACGATTGCATATACATACGAAATCAGCTAGCTTAAACGTCTTGGCATCTTTGAATTGGTCAAGGAGTCACAATTTGTTTTGAAAAATTCAAAAGGATTCACTGGTTTCAGAAAGACATGGTTTCCCTTGTTCTTCACCAAGATCATCTCCACCTTGCCTCACCCTTCCCTTCAGATTTCTTCAAATGAACGTCTGTTGAACGATTCCATCTTGTAAAGGAATCATCTTACGAGATGAAACAGATCTCCTCGTTTTCACGGTCTAGCTCTCAATCCATGATATGTTTTGTACATGGATCTCTAGACTCTAAAATCTAGTAAATAACTTTGAGGACAGAATTATCGATCAAACAAACGAGGTATGAACTAGGATCAAGTTTGTGACAAGGAGTACCCTCCCTCCCTCCCTCGACGACTCGGGCGGGGAGGGACTTTGATAAGTTTAAGGAGTACCACACATATTACAAAAAATTCAAGGTCATAAGGAAATGAAATCCACAGACCTCTTTAGCTTTACTTCAAGTTCGGATGCCGTGCGACTATTAGTCGCACAAGATGGCAGTTCTCCCAAGATTGCAAGACCCGCTTTCTGGATTTCATTGAACTATAGTGTACAAATCCAATCAGAATTATCTTTTGAATAAAGCTGGGAAGATCATTGGTTTGAAGGTCAAAATTGATCAAGATGAAAACTTCACAGTTCATCTTTTGTCGGTTCTAAATCTTTTAGCTCAAGAATGATCCCTTTTTCTGCTATTTTTCATGCATAGTACGTGCAACACTGCGTACGTATAATATTTAGCTGGGTATGAGGTACATATTTCAGGATATGTACATATTATAATGATTGCATATCAAATGGAATAAACCCAAGAAGAGAAAAAATTGTCTTGATGTATATCACTGATACCTTGAACACAGCGAAGAACTCGTATAGAAATCTTAATCATCAAATATATACGAGGGTTTGCCCAAAGCTTCATATGCAAGAGTTAAAATCCTTGATCAGTTTTCCTTCTACACCAGCTTCATCATCAACTTCACTCGCACTTTTCTTCATATCTCTTCAATCCAAGGTACATATATATATGTATATAAATAATCCAATCTCTTCTGGGAAGAAACCATCCTACGAACCTGAGACAGCTTATCTCTTCTGGCGCTAAATTTGTGATATGTTGTACATTCTTAATGCTACATAGTGGTTACACCCTAGTAATTTTAAAAGATAGAATTCCCTGTGCATTAAAAATCAATGTGTGTATGAGCTATGACCAAGTTTGTGACAAGAAGTACAATGGGTAGCTGTCTCACTTTCATGAAATCAAAGATGAAACCTTTTTTTAGTTTCTTTACAATTTACAATCAGTTTGAATAAATGCAAATATATCTTATTTATTTTCCATTCAATCGCCATTTTTTTTTTGAAAAAAGACACATCATTTTAAATTTTTAAATCAATGTCTTCATCTTTTATTCATACATTATCATTTTTCATTCTTTTTTCTCATTCTTTCATAAACTGTAAAACTCTTCCAAAACGAGAATTAGAACGTTAGCTTACTTTCAGTTAAACTGATTCGATCACTTCAGAATGTTTTCTTGAAAAACTTTGATTTTAATGTATACCTTTGATTTTAAATTAGGTCCTGGCTCATTTATAGGAGAAGCTTATCTTTATTTAGGTCGTGACGGAGATCGAAGATTCCATTTTGATTATCAAAAATTTGATGTTCCTCTTCAAGACCTTCGACATACGACCGAGAAACCGACATTGAAAGATCATGGATTTACCTTTGTCACCGACAGGCATGTTAAAGGACTCAATCCGTCGAACCATTTCTCACATCGAAATAGAGCTGCCTTAGAAGCTGATTCAGTTGAACTTGTGAAAAAGCTGTAAGTAAGTCTATAGAAGCATTCTCATTGGACAAACTAAAAATTGGCTCATCGATTTTGGATCATCGCTTTAGGACAGGTGCGAAACGGGCCTTTGCCTTTACAAGTAGTTTTAGAGATCATAGACTTCATGGGCCCGGACCCAACCCAGCGATCCACTCTGACTTTTCATTGAAAGGTGCTACATGGATCAAAGAAAAGGTAAAACGTGACTTGGCCAATTCAGGTGACCCAAGTAAAATTGATTTTGCAGCGGGCATGATGGGAGGGGCAGACGTGGTGATTTTGAAAGTTTGGAGACCTATCATTCCGGTCAGACGCAATCATCTTGGTATCTGCAAATGGGATTCGATCTTAGAGGAAGACGCTCCGAAATGGAAAATCGTACCAACAGATTATGATAATGCAGTCCAACCATGGAAGTATAGAAACGGTCAACAATGGTACTTCTTAAGTTACCAACAACCACATGAAGTTTTCGTAATGATGCAACACGACAGTAGTGCAGTTGATCATCATGGAATCAACGTTCCTCATGCAGCCTTCAATCTCAAAGGTCACCGAAGTGAATTACCAAGACCGAGTTATGAAACCAAAGTCATTGCAATCATCAATGAATCACCCCCCAGTTTCAGGGAACAAATCAGATCATCTTTATCTTTGTCCAAAATCTCGACGAAACTTTATCCAGGTTCTCTCGAAAATTAAACACCTGTGATCAGATTGGGGTGTTTTTATGGGATCTTGATGGTTTGAATCAGTATAGTATTTCTGTAGTATTTCTTCAGACCTATTACGATTCTTTTTGATTTCTCAACATTATATGATTTCATTCACAATCTTCAACTTTGAGATTAGATAGTGAAACCGAAACTTGATCCTGGATTTCATTATGATCGCACGAAATTTTAAAATTCTGTAAAATGTTTGATTTTGTCTTTCATCAAGCATTCACACACTTTTACTTCAATCTCTGCTATTTTTGTTGGCTCATCAACCCTACAAACCATTTAAAATGACTCTACAAAAAATCTACATTATACTACCATTTCTTCCTCTATCAAGAAGAAATGTTTCTTGGAATCTGAGATAGCTCATCTCTTCTAGCTCTGAATCTATGATATTTTCACGCGATATACATCCCCCGAGGCTAGAATTTGTACCCTAATGGTTTTTTTATAAATCAATCAAAAATCAAGGTCTGAAGTATGACTAGATTTGTGAGAAGGACTACCACAGATGACTGTAGAGAACCCAGGTCAGAACAACATGAAACTACACAAACGTTTGCAATTGATTATTCCACTCCTGATGCCGTTCGACTACAGCGCAGAGCACATATTGGCAGTTCTCGCAAGATCAATTTTGGGCTTCCATTGATCTGGCATTTCCAGATACTGTAGAAGTACTGGGCCAGCACAGCTCAAACCAAGTGGGAGTTATGTAGTTGAGTTTGGGAATATGGGTAGCATGGGTCAGAAACATAATGTGTCCCGGCGCTTAATGAGTCTTTTGGTGACGTGTTTCAGGAAATAATCTTACCAAAACTATCTGACATCTGATTTTTGAATTTCTGAAAGAGAAAAACACAAAGCTTGGTCTTTTTGGAAGATTCGTTGGAGTTGAAATATAAGATACGAGGGTGTGGCAAAACCTTTATATGCCCGAATTGAATACTTGATCAATTTCTCTTTTACATCGGAATCATCATCATCTTCACAGTGCACACACCCTTTCCTTTAGATTTCTTTGATCGAAGATATTTAGTGAGATTTCTTCCAAGAAGAAACGATCTTGCAAACCTGAGACAGCCTAGCTCTAAACCTGTGGTATTCTGTGCATCCTTAATGCTAGACGTTACACCCTAGTAATTTTTACAATAGAGTCCATAGAATCATTCACACATCAACTATCAGCGTCTGAGCTATGACAAAGTTTGTGACAAGAAGGCATGAAAGGCGTCTCACTTTCAAGATATCAAAAATGAGAAATCTCATCACGATATAAATCAGTTTCTTCTCAATCAACTCAGGGATCGGGTTTTCTCTTATTTGTTTTCCATTCAATCACGATTTCTTTGAGGACTTTAAAGATAGACATAAAAATGTCTACATCTGTCATTCAGATAATATCCCTTTTCATTCTTTTTTATCATTCGTTTATAAACTGTGAAAGTCATTCAAAACGAGAGTTGAGACGTTAGCTTACTTTCAGTTTACCTCATTCAATCACATCTGATGCAATACCCGAATCGCTCCGAAACGATATGAAATTTGGTCCATTTTCATATCGTTTCGGAGTGGGCGCTATGAATCGCTCCGCTCCGAGATCGCTATGAAAATGGAAAAAATCCTTGCCAGGTATCGGAGCGGAGGAATTGATCAATTCCCGCTACATAGCGCACTTAGCGGTGATGTAGGAAGACCAAACAAAAATTTTGTATTTCAAATATATTTGTACGTGACCATAGGGCTAGATACGTAGGAGAGTAGGACGTGTTTTCATAGAGACATCAGAAGCAAGAGAAACATGTATAATAAGAAAACTCAGAGTCAAGGTGAGACTTGAGTCACTTTAAGGAAGGAACACGTGTAAGAAATGAAATTGTATAAAAAGAAATTCTTTCGATGAAAGTAAATTGATGGACCTATCGGCTGGCCGATCAGCAAGAGGATGAGATTGGTCACCATCCGAAGAAGGAACTATCAGAGTGGTCCGTGAATCTGATGGGGTCGCCACAAATCCTGGCTGTGATCGTGCAGGGCTTGGTGGCCTAAGAGTTCTCGATCTAGAACTTGGTAAACTAGGAACCTGAAGACTAGGAGTATTGGAGATGGATTGGGTAGAAGGGGTTTTTGAGATAGCCATCGATATATACGATATGAGCAAAAGGTTACAATTATGATGGAAGTAATAACTGTTTGAGTGGGTAACGAGAAAAGAACAAGTAAGTATCTTTGATTGAATCAATCAAAGATGAGGGATAGAATCTCACTGACCAAAAGATCACTACTAATACAACTTGGTAGTCGATTGGACCACATTTTGGCCCTCGAAATGTATTCCAGGGGTCGTGTTCCATTGGCCGTGGAGGTGGTGATGGACTAGGACCAATTAAGACAGGTGAAGTGGTCATCTAAGATCAAAAGAGGTGAAGGTGGGTGGCGTGAGGCGTCGATCTAGTGAAGGGGTGGGGTGACAACCCTCTACCCACCCCTTGGATCATGATGTCCGCTATATATCGGAGAACCCGATGTCCCGGGGCATTGCGTAGCGGTCCTTTTGCTATGGAAAAGTCTGGGGCTCGAGTTCGGTGCGCAGTTTCCGCTATGGACTGCGGAGGTCATAGCGGGTTCCAAATCCGCTCCGAAATCGCTCCGAAACAGCTATCTAGAGCGGAGTGATTCGGGTATTGTCTGATGGTCTTTCTCAATACTCAACTGAAGCTTTGATTTACAACTTTGTGTTGAAATAGGTCCCGGAAACGCCATAGGAGAAGTTTACAGTTATTTAGGTCATGAAGATGCTCAAGGCTCTTTTGGTCGTCTCAGAAAATACATAGTCCCTCTTCAAGATATTCGAACCACGAGAGTGAAACCGACATTAAAGACCCATGGATTCACCTTTATAACCCAAAGGGATGATCTAGGAATAGACCTTCAGAGAGCATTCTCTGATGAACATCAAGCCGCCTTAGAAGCTGATTCTGTTGCACTTGTCAAATCGCTGTAAGCAAGTCTTTGAAAAAATTCTCTTGGGACACATTGAAGATTGGCTCATTGATTCTGGACCATCACTTTAGGACAGGAGCCCAAGAAGCATTCCCCTTTGCAGGTACTTTTAGAGATCATGTATGGGGGGGCATGAAACCAGACCCAGTGATTCACTCTGACCTTTCACCGAAAGGTGCTACAACGATGAAAGACCAGGTGCGAACGAACTTGGCCAATTCAGGTGATCAAAGCAAAATTGATTTTGCAGCGCGCATGTCGGAAGGGGCAGACGTGGTGATTTTGAAAGTTTGGAGACCCATCGTCGAGGTCACCCGTAATCATCTTGGGATCCGCAAATGGAATTCGGTTTTGGAGGGAGACGCCTTGAAGTTGGATAGCAGGCTCAAAGATGATCAAGATGCACTCCAAGCATGGAAGTACAACAACCGTCAACAATGGTTTTTCGCAAGTAACCAACAACCACATGAAGTTTTTGTAATGATGCAACACAACAGCACAGCACCTGATGGTCACGGAATCAACGTTCCACATGCTGCCTTTAACATCGAAGGTCACCAAAGTACATATTCACGACCGAGTTATGAAACCAAAGTCATTGCAATCATCAATGACCCACCCACAAGTCTCCGGGACAAAATCAGATCATCTTTATCCCGGTCCAAAATCTCAAATAAAGTTCATCCTGGTAAGCTGCGTTTCAGGGCTTCTGTTGGATGTTTGTAGACTAACCCAGAGCTCACCTCTTGACTGCCTTTTTAGGGTAAAGCCGTGAGGTGCAGTATAAAAGGCATTGATTTCATTTGGCAAAGACCTCTAATTTAATCCTGGAAATCCACTTCTTGCTGTGTAATTTCATTCCGTACTGTCTGCATTAATTTCTGGTAATCTCACTCTTGGCAAATATGTAATAACTTCAGCTTACCTTTTTTTCAATGAACCTTATTACAAGAAACATGTTGAGCTAATAATAGCTTAGAATTCCTTTTTGCAATGTACTCCATTTGTGGCCACTTGACTTGCCTCCACTTTTTATCTTTAATTCCAACTAGGGTATACACTTTCGAGACGATAATAAAAATAATTCAATATGACTTATCGAATCTAGGTAGTCCTGGCTATTACGCCCCGGACTACCAGTGATCGGGTTTTATTAAGCTTAACTAAGCCCCTCTAGCGCGTTCGCCGCGCCCTTGACACTGGTGGCCAAAGGTACGACGTCATCTGTGAGTTCCATCGGGGACGGATGACGCGGTGTATGAGCCTAAGACCCAGGGCCGGGAAATACCCGGACCCACCACAAAGCGAGGCAAGACGAACTGTGAAAATTTTCAATCTCACAGTTCTGTACGCCTCTCAACGCTCATACACCTCAGCTTCAGATTCAGAAATCCATAGTTTAAGAGCTTTCAAATAGAAATAAAATTTTCAATTTCAAAACAGAAGAGCATCATGGCATCACAAGACCCGAGTTCAACACAGGCCTTCAACAAAGACGTGAATGAGATCTTATCACAACACGAGAAAGAGAAAAACAATAAAGAAGAAGGAAGCTCAAGAACAAGAGGATCGGGGAAAGCTATACGAGGACGAGGTAGAGGCGGCAGAAGAGGAAGAGGAAACGCAACAGCAACTTGCCAAACAAGAAGTACAACAAAAGGCAAGATTAGAGAACCAAGAGAAGAAACTGTTGATGAAGAGAAAGAAGACGAAAGTGAGTTATCAGAGGTAGAAAGCGTTGACAGGAAAGAGAAGAAGGAAGGAGGAGAAGAGCTAGAGAATGGAATGATGGAAGAGAATGAGGCGGACGAGGATACCATTTCTTTAGGTAAGTTTACATTCTAAACATAAAACACACCTTTTCCAAATCTTTAGAATACTCCCAATCCTTCATAATGTTCTCGAGTGTGTAAAGAGAAAACTGTAACCACACGGGTGGAGCAGATGTCCGGAGAGATGGCCCTGTCAGCAAATAGAAGTGCATAAAAAAGTCTGGAAACATACTAGAGTGAACAGAGTCATATCTCAAAAAGGCTTGAATAGTTTGAAGCAGGCTTGAATATCTTTGGAAAAGGCTTGAATATCTTAGTAAAAGATCCAGTTTGAAAGAAGCAGAAGTCTTGTGTGAGGTGTAGAAATCCCAAGAGGAGAAGTGATTGGAGTCCTAGAGTGTAGAAAAAATAAAAAATGCAGATGTGTCAGAGCCAATGAGCTAATGTGTTGTGTTGTTTTGTGGATGTGAACAGAAGACAAAGCAGAGCTAGTAGCAGAAAATGCGCACATAGATCGAGAGCACGAAAGATACCTCGCAGAGTTGACCAGATTGTATTGGAAAGGAAACACTGGACGGTATGATATACTGGAGAGAGCTTATAGTAGATGGTGCGAGAGAATTGGAACAGATCCACGAGGTGTTCAAATGTTAGGAGCCTCTAGTGAAGAAGAAGAAGAGGAAGACTTAGGAGGCGTGAAGAGAAAAGCGAAAGAAACATGTAGTGAAAAGTCAACGAAGGTGGCAAAGAAGATGAATACCGGGAAGGTATTGACACATAAGTTGATAGACTTGGCTCCTTACTGGGACAATAGGATGAAGGCTTGTTTCGGCTATGTACCTCTCACAATTTTCGTTCCAGCCTGGTTGCTAGCAGATAAGAATCACATGTCGAATAGAAGGAAGCAAAGCTCATTGTGTTCGGATGTAGTAGCATACGTCGGATTGAGGGTACCTAGTGAATGGAGACAAAGTTTTTTAATGTGGTCAACATCTTTCCATCTTTATGTCCAGTATTGGAGATCGAAGTACCAACAAGAAGATATCGCTAAAAGACTAGAAGAACATTATAAAATAGTATTAGACATTAAAGCTAGAAATCACGACGCATTCGCTCCGGCGCTGAGATATGACATTACTCACAGAACAAACATATTCAGCCATACGTTAGAAGACGGATCCTTGTCTGATGTTGGTACGAGAAACGAAGAACTGGTGGAACAAGCTATAACGGACTCTAAAGCGAATAAGGACCACAGATACTTTGACAATCCTTATATCATAGGTGGTGCGATGGAGAACGTGAACCCAGCAACCGGAAGGTATCAAGTAGGCTGGGACATGATATCCAACGGAGACGAGCAGATAACGGCGGTGACAGGAGGCAGGATGTTATCCCACCTTGCACCCAGTGGAAGAAGTCAGGCACAGGGAATGACCGGACAATTCTTCGGGGAATCATCTCATTACCAAAATGTCAGCCATCATGAGTTTGGGGAGTTGAATGGAAATGGAAGTTTTAGTCAAAACGGTAGAGGACGAGGTAGAAGAGGTAGAGGAGTAAGTCGTGGAATTAATGCAAGAGGTGGAGGTTCGAGAGGTGGTCACTCAGGACCAACGACCGTGGTGAATGGGGTGACGGTGCCAAAGTTCGGACCAGGAGCTTTCAAGGCGGTGAAAGCAGCGAAACAAGCTGGGACAGGAGGAAATGGTGCGAGTGCTCAGTGAGTAGTAATAAAAATAGTTTATTGTGTTCTCCTTTAGTTTTTTTGTCCATAGAAGTGAAATCGCCCTAGAAAGCGATGAGCATGGAGAAATGGAGAGAAATGCATTCCCAAGGAAGATGTTTCCTAGAGCAAAGAGACCAAAACCCGTGAGAATGAGAGAAACTGAGATTGCCACAAATTTGCCTACCTTTGCACATTCCAGATCCGCACCGGTGAGAGGAATAGTTGATGTAAGAGACACGCCGGAAAGGCAAATAGGAGAAGAGGCTGAAAGGAGCCCAGAACAGCGCCACACCGCTCAGGAAAAACAACGAGAGAGACGAGAAGGATCAATAAATCTGCAAGATAAAGACTCAAGAAACGAAGCTCGGTCGAAATGGCCTAGAAGAGCTAAATGTGAAATGAATATAAAGAGATGGCGAGAGTTAGCACGGGAGTCAGGAGTAGAAGGAGAAATAGAAGACGTACTAGAAGGCCTGGTAAACGGTTTCACTCAAGGAATACCGGAGCATTACCTAGGCGGCAAGAGATGGTGGACGCCGGACAATCATAGATCGGCGTTGGCGGTGAAGGAGAAGATCATGAAAAACTTACAAAGAGAGAAGGGAGCAGGCCGAGTGTTTGGGCCATTTTCACATGAAGAGGTATACGCGAAATGGGGTTTCTTCCGCACAAATCCAATGGGTAGTGTGGTAAACAACGACGGATCCTTGAGGATGATAAATGACTTATCATACCCGGTAGAAGATGAAAATATACCCTCAGTGAATTCGATGGTAGACAAACGAGAATTCGACACATTGTGGGACGATTTCCACGTGGTGGCTCGGTATTTTAGAGAACATTTCCACAAAATTTTGATGTTGGCAATCTACGATTGGGAGAAGGCTTATAGGCAAGCGTGTACAAAAGAGGAGGAATGGCGCTACTTGATGATTAAGGACTTCTATAACAGGATTTGGATGGATATCGCGGTGCCGTTCGGTGGAGTTGCTGGATGTGGGACCTTCGGGAAGGTAGCAGACGCGTGGAGACTGATAGTACAAAAGCACCTGAAGATTGATAGAATCTTCAGATGGGTGGATGATAATATGATTGTGAAGATTGAAGGTGAGAACTTACGTATTGAGGACATCGTGGAGTTGAGCACGGAGATGGGAGTCAAAACCAACCAAGAAAAACTGCAAGACTTCGCAGACGAGCAGAAATATTTAGGTTTCATTTTCAACGGACGCGATAAGACAGTAAGATTACCTGAAGAAAAATTAACAGAAAGGTTAGAAGCAATAGTGAAAATGTTGGGAGAAGGACCGTGGAGTTTAAAGGAAGCAGACTCAACAATAGGAAAAATAGCACATCTCATGTACATTGTACCTCATATGAGACCCTACATGAGGGGATTATACGCTTGGTTAAACCCGTGGCAAAAGACCAACGCGAAGAGATTTTTATCGAGGGCGGCAAGAAACGACTTGGAGAGCTGGAAAGAGGCCTTGACGAATTTCGAACCTAGGAGGATCGTGCCATTGGTAGACCCGGAAAGGGTTGGATGGGTTGGTGACGCGAGCGGATTCGGAATGGGAGTGATAACAGACCACGGCTGGTTACATTTTAAGTTAAAGGATGGCTGGCAGAGGAAAGGACTGGGAGAAGACAAAACAAGTCGCGACATAGCATGGGCCGAAACGGCGGCGATAAGGTTGGGCCTGCTGCTATTAGAAGTGTTGATAGATACACGAGGTAGAAACTTTTGGGTGAAAACTGATAACACTACTACGGAGTCAACAATAAACAAGAGACGGTCAAAGAGCGAACAAGTCAACGAGGAGTGGAAAAGGATTCAAGACTTACTATTACGGCTTCAGTGCGATATAACGGAGGAACGGGTAGAATCTGGAAACAACGACGCAGACGGGCTATCAAGAGGTCTGGAAGAAGAGGATCAGGCTGGAGAAAGAGTAAACATCAACCTACCAGAAGACTTACGGATGCTTTTAGAAGAAGCATGATATCGCCGAAGGTAGAACATAAGATACGACATTTTTTACAAGACGCGAGAGGAGAGATGAAGTGGAGAGAAAATAGTGTTCAAACTCATATGTTGTCAGGAGGCTGGGCCGAGGCGACTTTAATAAATTATAATAGTGGTGTTGTAAAATTAATAAAATTTTCTCAAGAAAAAGGTTACAAAAGGAGGCAATTACTGCCACTGTCGATGAACTTATTGTACGAATTCATAGTTTGGGCAGGGAAGAAGTTAGGAGAAGATGGGAAGACAGAAAGAGATAATCAGAATCAAGTGACGATAGAGGTAGAAACGTTGAAAAAGTATCTTACTGGGGTGAAATGTTGGCATCTATTCCATGACGAGGAATACCCGAAGTATAGCTCCTTAAAATTATCAGTACTATTGAAATCATTGAAGTTGGCAGAAACGGTGATAAAAGATTCAGAGAAAGATCGAAAGAGCCCGGTAATGATAAAGCATCTGGTGCAATTATTGAAGAATCTATCGAATGGAAGCAAGAGAGATCAAGTAGCGTTGGCAATCGCGCTGGTGGCATTCTGGGGAATGGCGCGTTTAGGAGAGCTAGTATCAGATGACAAAAAGAAGAGGTTGATAAGGTTCAAGGACTTACAGGTAACTGGAGAAGGATCAAAAGTGTCGATAGCGCTGTTCAACGCGAAGACGGCACAGCCAGGCCAAGTACAATACATTAAATTGAAGCAACAGCAATCATATTTAGACGCAACCTCAGCACTCGAGAGAATGGTGAGAGATAATCAGACAGGTCCCAAGGACCCCTTGTTTTCGTATTTGGAGACAAACGGACAAAGAAGCACGATAACGAAGGCCAAATTAATGGGGATTTATAAGAGGATCTGGAAACAGAACGACAAAGAAAATCAATTGTCGGGTCATTTGTTTAGGGTTGGAGGCGCATCGTTTAGATGGAATGAGAAACGACCATTGGAGGAGATCACAACGATAGGACGTTGGCAATCCAAGGCGTATCAGTTGTATTTAAGAAAATATGATAAAGAAGAAAAACGAGAGACGAAAGAATTGTGGAACTTATTGGCCTATGAAGAAGAGCAGAAGAATAAAAAGTGAGTGTGTTTCATGATTAAAGTGGAAAGAGAACAAGACGTTGAAGTAGAATGAAATGTAGGTAAAAGAGACGATTGAAAAGGGAGAATGAATGGGATGAGGATAAAGGAGGAAGAGGAAAGAGTAAGAGGAAATTAAAAGTGAAGTGAAATGAATGGGGTGCGGGAAAAGGGTTGAGATGAGTAAGGAAAGATAAAGAAGAGACAGGGTTTGAGTTTGATGCAATAGAGTTTAAGGTTGACGGTAGTGAATTGCAGATCCACGCGAGGTGGATGATCACCATGTACAATGAGCAATACAGCGAGATCTGGACAGCTGTCGTAGACAGGTTTTCGACGAGCTCAGGACGCCACCCGTCCAGAGATTGGGAGGTAGAAAACCTTTCTCAGACAGGCAGTCCCCGGGCCTACGGCCCCCCCCACACCAGGTCAGAACCAAAAATGGTGATGACCTACATAATGGATTGCTTCGAAACAGGAAGGCATAAAGGAAGTAAGTAAGAGTTACAAGCTTCATAGAAATAAGCGAGAGACAAATACAAACATAAAGATAGTATTAATGATGAAAGTTAAAACCTAAGAGATGAGAGAACAATAACTTTAGTTATGAAATAATAACAAAGCTGAACAAGGCATAGTCCAAAGATGGATCGCAGAGAGTTTTATGTACATCAAACAAATAAACAATCGTCTTTCTCGAAATCTTTATTTTACGGAAGACGGATAAGCTAATTGCCTTACAAATCTAATCCCGACTTATCGAAGTTGCTCCGATAACTTGAAGACGTTTAGGATAGTCTCATAGCTGAATAGATTGGTACCAGCATTAAGTCGCTGATGGGTCTAGTACAGCTCAGATTTGCCAGTACTCTCGAGTACGTGAAGATAATCCTTACAAGACTTATAGGCAAATGGCTCAATGATTTACATGTCAAAGAGTCGATTTATTTTTTCAATTTTTTTCAAATCAAAAGTACAGCTTGGTTTTGAAACCACATTCCTGAGCTTACTCTAAATTCCTGAAACCCATCTCTTGTAGAATGGGATCTATGAGCTGTAATTCCCCAGACGTTGCATCCTAGTCACTTTTAAAGCAGAATTCTCTACATCCTTTCAAGAATTAAGGTCTGAAGCTTGACTAGCTTTGTGACAGAAGTAGAAGCCGTCTCGTTTTCAAGATGCTAAGACGGATAATGCATCATCCTATAACTCATGTTTGTAAATCTTTTCCTACCTCTGTCAATTTATATATCTCTTCTCACCGACAATTCTTCAACAAGACAAGTCACAATTAAATGGATTCATCTTTGTTTGAGAGATTGATCCTCTTCATTCTCTTTTGTCATTCTTTTATACATTGTTCAAGTGTTTCAAAACGAGAATTGAAACGTTCGTTTACATAGGTTCATTTTATCTTTCTCGATCTCCAGATCTCCAGATAATCCTTCAAAATACTAAACACCAATTTTGATTTCTAAATTTGATGTCAAATTAGGTCCTGAATCGGTCTTAGGAGAGGTTTACGAATTTGTAGGTTATAATGAAGTGACTCAGTCTTATTTAATTGATTACTCAACTCCATACCAAGTTCCTCTTGAAGACATTCGAGCTTTGAAGAAAAAACCAACTTTAAAAACTCATGGATTCACCTATGTTTCCGGAAGACCTGTGACCGGAATCGAAAAATTAGTGACATCCTCGGATGAACACAGAGACGCCTTAAACGCCGATGCTGTTAAACTTGTGAAAGAGCTGTGAGGAAATCTTGAAGTTACTTCTCATTTCGACACAACTCACAAGGCGCTGATCAATTGTGAATACTTAGCATGGGGTCGAAACCGACAGTTACCTTTGGAACTGGTTTTAGAGACCTAACTAAACTTGGACCGATGAATTCAGCTCCAGTGATTCACTCTGACTTGTCACCAGAAGGGGCTGCATGGAAAAAATTCGTTACACAAAATCGATTGTTCGGTTCAACGGATCCAGATCAAATCAAATTTGCAAAGCACTTGAAGGAAGGTAAAGATGTGGTGATCTTAAACGTTTGGAGGCCGATCCGGACGGTCAAAGACAATCATCTTGGGTTTTGCAAGTGGGATACACTTTTGAAAGAAGACGCCTTGCCACGGAACATCAAACCAACAGAGGCCTCAAATGCACTTCAGCCGTGGAAGTATCGACCCGGTCAAAGGTGGTATTACTTGAGTGAACAACAGCCAGATGAAGCTTTTATATTCATGCAACACGACAGCACAGCAAGAGATGGACACGGGATTAATGTTGCGCATGCTTCTATCAATCTCAAAGGTCACAAAGATCCTTTTACAAGAGCGAGTTTTGAAACGAAAGTCATGGTGATTGTCGATCCACCGATAATAAGAAGACTTTCAAGAATATGGGAACGCATTAAATCAAGTTTGACAAAATGAAAGAAGTCGCGAGAAAAGAACGACTGATCAAAACTTTGAGCATATTGGATTGGAACTTCTATGAAGTGTTGATAATTGAAATGATGCAACGTCTACGAATATTTCACTATTTGTCCAACCTATGATCCTCTCTCATTTGACGTATATGACATTATCATACTATAATCACAACACTACTTTTCAACTTTGGGGGCAGAAAATGTAACAGAAACCTGATCTTGCCTCTGAGTATGATCACAAATTGTTAATCACGAACAGAAATGCCGTATGGTGCAACTCTCATCTCGGAGCTCATCTGATAGACAAGTTGGCTGTTAACTGAGTGTCCCCCTGTTGACGTTCTTTTACACAGTGTGTCTTCTCAGAAGGAGGCTATTCTTCATACATATATATAGAGAGAGTCTGTTCAATTTAGACTCATAACATCAAAAAAAGTCCGTGTCAATGATCAATTGGATTATGCAGTGAGATACATTGAAGGGATCCCTCTAGAAACTCCACAGAAGGTTCGGACCAGAAGCGGAAAGATCTTTTTAGATCAAAGTACTGTCAACGTACGATGCACGCCTATAATTACGCTGACACCGAATTTGTGGTTGTTTTTTGGTATCAATTAGGATCACTGTAAGAAAGAATCGATTGGGTGAGACCTTTAACAGAGATAAGCCTTTCTCAACATCCGCTTATTAGTAGCCTCAGATAAGAAGACATTGAAAAGCCTGTTGATCAATCAAAAAAAAACTCTTACAGAGATACACTTTTCATATCTGCCACCAAATGCACAACCTTTGAGCATGCCATGATAAGGCCTTGTTTGTTTTTCCAAAAAATGTACCATGAAAAAGCTTCGCCGGGACATCCTTGTCACTTTCCTCAGAGACTATTGCTTGTCTTTGAAATAATCAGAATCTGAGGAATTTTGAGAACTTCAAAATCCACTCAGTGGTCATCATCTGATGTGCATGAAACACTTTAACCTCATATTTGGAAAAAACTTCTTCACAATCTTACCTTCAAGTGATAAGACTTAAGAAAAAGAGATTCAAATCTTAAGATACATTTCAATTTGTAAAAACATTTAGAATGAGATGCATGATCAAGACCTTAACAATCTTGAAAATTCAATTCAATCTAAAAAAATTCCAAATAACTAACTACGAGTAAAGTCATTCAAGAAACTCAAGCTGAAGTACAAGTTTTGAAAGAAATAAGAAATGAAGAGTAAAAAGGACAAGCAATTAGATCACATTATAGAGAAAGCTATAGCGGTACAACAATTGGTCTTGAAGTGAATGAACTTTGATATTAATGTAGAGTCCACTTTCAACACACAAGAGAAGTAAGAACTTGAAAGTTTACACACTGAGCGTTCACTTATACAAGACCATAGAAATCTCAGTTGAAACAGTAGACTAGCACAAGAAGAGAAAAAAGAAATGATTATCAAGGGTAACACAAGAAAGATGTAAAAACTCAATTAAAAAGCGATCAAAGTTGATAGAAATCGAAAAAGAAGAAATGTAAATGCTAGGAGTCATATAATCAATTAAACCAATTATGGATGATTCGAAAGAAATTATTCAAGATTTCTGTACAAAAATCAGATAAGATTAGTTTACGAACGCTCACAAAACGCAGAATCTTCAAGAATCAAACTTACAATGATTGAAATCCCATTTTATGAAAGTAAAATCGCTTTCACAACCCATGACAAGCCGTATGTTAATTGCCTTGCAACACATATCCTGATCCGAGGTTTAATAAAGTTGAGTTCTTGAGAAGGAGAAATCAAAACATTCACAAGTTCTTTCGAATGAGCACTTAAAGCACCACTGCCACCATACTTGTTGGTTTCCGAACCGTTCAAGAGTTGATGAGAAGTCGTCAAACCACCTTGAGAATTTCTTTCAGCGTTTAAATTTTCTATTATGGTGTTGTTTAAATTTGATTCACAATGTCGACGTTTTGATTGGCTTTGAAGGAAGTCATCAATCAGTCTTGATGTTTGACTACTAAGATCTCGTTTCCGTGAACCTAAAGTAGACTTTACAATTTCTTGATCTTGATTGATTTGAATTTCTTTTTTAATCGATTTCTTATTAATCCTTAACTTGATCACAATCCTAGGTTGAACTTCAGGTAATCTTAAAATCGTAATTATCCTTCTACGTTTTGGTTCTTCTGAATAAACATTCTCTTCAGCTAAACGTTTTAATGAGAGATCTGTCGGATCATAGTAAGGACCCCAAGTTAAACCACGTGGTGGATCTGTTCGTAAAGGAAACGACCATCTTCCCAAATAACTTCTCCATTCCGTTCGATTGGCATCCTCCGAGATATCTGAAGTGATCAATCGCGGACCTTCAACCAAGCCAGGTAACGTCTTGGGCCCAATCGAATCAGTAAACCGATGGTGCTGATCTCTTTTAGGTCCATCCCGGTTGAATGACATGTCCAAATGGAATTTCGAAGCGTCTTCGGTCAGGCAGATCGGCTTGGTTGAGGGTACACGACGTTCGAGAGATGGAGGAGGTAGATGAACGGTCCAATCACCCGAACTATTCCCAAGCAAAGCGTTTAAGTCGGCTTTTGAGTACAAGTTGACAACACGGGTAGATTGGGACATGCTGATGATTAGGTAGTTAAAGAAAAGCTTGTGGAAATAAAGAAAGGTAGAATTATTTGTATGAAGGAGAACAGGCGAAAGATGTTATGATAGTAGAATTACTTTGAAGAAGTAGATTGCGTAAATAAAATGGTGGAAAGGTTTGATGAGATAAACTGAAGTGAGGTTGCAATGTGATGAAAGTATGTGGGAGGAAGAAAGAGTCATTCATTAAATACCTTATCAATCTCAGCTGTTATCCGGTAGGCATCCTCAAGATCCATTCGCAGGTGGACTGGCTTTGATTGTGACATTGACTTGATTGTCGTCATCAGGACCGCAAGCTTTCTTAACCTCTAGCCCGAGACCCTCTCCTTGTGACTCTGAGCACTGAACTTGTACGCGCTTTGCCGTGTGATGTCTACTAGCGGCCTTTGGCGACACTCTTAACAGTCCGGTTCATAAGCATGTTGATGTAGTTGTTCCTTTCTCCGGAGGTCAGGTCACCGTCTCGCGTTGTGGGCTGTGTTCCGCTAGTTTGAGTCATAATACCATCCACTAGAAAAAGTAGGCCACAAACTTCGATGAGGTCAGGTGGTCATCAGGTTTCTTTATTTGATTTCCTTTGCTACCAAACTTTGACTCCTTGTAAGTCGTAAAGAGAAAAGATCCAACTGAGAATTTATAAAGAAACTCTCTTTATCCAAGGGTTCTTAAAGACACTTGTATCACCATTCAAACATAAATTTCAAAACACCCATCAAAGCTTGATACAAATGTATAAACATAATCTAAATTACCTTCATTAAAATCTTGCAAAGAAAACAAAAAAATAAACCAAGAACCCAATCATGTTCATTCAACCATTGACGCATTACACACACACATAAACCCATTCTTTAAGAAAAACAACAACAAAAGAGAAAACTAGAAAAAAAAATTATATATATATATGAAGAAATTCAAAATTCAAGATTAGATTTAAAACAAATCAAAACAAATTCATCAAAAAATCAATCAAAAAAAGGGTACCCTATAAAAACTATACAAAACGTATAAAAAACACACACACACACAGACCCAAATCGATCAAATTTAAACATGTATGTCTTCATAGGTATAAAAAACTTGAATCATAGTTAAAAAGAAAAAGGTCTTGCGTATATAGATGTCCATATATATAAACAAAAAACAAATCAAAATCATCAAAGGTTTCGTTAAATTTTCAAACCAATCTAAAAAAAAAATCAAAAAAAAATCACAAGAAAAATTAACAAAGATCAATACATATCATGGAATAAAATCAAAAAAAAACTTCTTCAATTCATTAAATCACTCACCAATTCTCATCCATGATTTTAGGATGAGCACTAATCATAGCTAATGGTTTCAAATTCCATCTTCTCAAATTCGGTTCTCCATCACCTAATCGATTCGAATCTGATTTCACTACAATCCAATCAGATCCAGAAGTACTAGAAGCAGCACCCGGTCCAACCCCATATCCTACTATATGATTAGGTTTTCTAAGACCTGTTCCAACTCCTATGATTTCTTCTTCTTCTTCTACTACTGATCTTAAGTTTTCATCTGTTATAGCATTATGGTTCTCTGGACGTGGTTGTTGTTGTTGTTGTGGTTGTGCGTGTGATGAAGATCGTAAGCTAGATCGTTTGAGTGCCGCTGGATCTTCAACGATCCTTACTCTCCGGGCAGTACAACTGCTATTCGTACTTAGACTGGTCACGGATTTCATGAATGGAGAATCTTCATTGGACTTTGAAGGTGAAAGGATTGATGTATGTGATGGGAGACGATTAGGATCAATGACAGAGAGAGCTCGAGAGGAGATTGATTGACCGAAGCTTTCGGCCTTTGAGAGTCGACTAGGTCCCAAGTCAATTCCTTTTCCCGACCTCGGCCTCAAGCCACTCTTTGTGATCGTCTGGCTGTTGGTTTGGTTGTTCTGAGTAGATTTTTCTCGGGGAGGACTCGGTGTTGGATCAGAGAGTAACCTGGGTCTCTCGGTTCCATCAGCCTGGATTGAGCTTGCAGTTGTGTCAGCCTGGCTTGTATCTAAAGAGGCATCCGCCTTTGGCTCCACATGAAATGATTTCCGGTTTGCAACAGAGGAGAGAAGAGTAGGACGGGCAGAAGAACCGCTGGAAGCTTTATTGGGTGGCCTTGTCTCGAAAGACATTGAGCTAGGATACACCTTACGACTCAAGAGAGACGTGTTAGAAGCAGATCTTGCTGAGTGACCATCTGCAACATCCATGGGTCTAGATGAACAAGAAGACATATCAGATTGTTGACAGGTGGTTTGGGACTCTGACAGCTTCAGAGTGCTTTGTGATCCAAAGGTTTGGCCGATCACTCGATCTACACAGCACAGATAACAAGGGAACGTCAGAACTACATCAAGGATCACAGAGTCAGATATGTGACATACTTATAAGTTCAGCGTTTTGCGGGTCGAGGTTTCGAGGTAATGGCATCTGATCAGGACTGATGACAGTGGCTTTTTGACTAAAGAACAAGATTTTTCGTCAATGCGCTGTGACAGATGTAAAGGAGATCGAGGGGACAAACCTTCCAAAGTGCTGCTGAGGATTATAGTACTTTAGACTACTGACTGTCTTTCTAAGCTTGTCTTTCCCAGCTGATCTCAACTCATTCAGAAAAGATGTCATATCAGATGTGGGTGGATCAGGCCCCTGAGACTGATTCGAACCACCAATCGAGTTTCTATAAACATTCGCGGGCTTCGAGATCGGGTTCTACCATACTCAAATAGTATACCAGCATCAGTTACAGTCCTAAGGCAGAGATGTGCGAGCAATGACTTACCAAGACACGTGTTGAAGCAGACATCTTCTCACTGACGTTCGAGCTACTTGAAACCCCCAATGAATGGCGATGAAGTTTCTTGGCATCCGGTCTATCGAACAAGTCATGCTCCAACTCACTATCGCGAACCCAGCCGCTATTGATCGTATTTGAAGAGTGAGGGGGATCAGGGGCAGATGGATGTTCTTCGCGGCCCTTTCCTTTCCAGCGAGTTAGATCAGCTGATGCAGATGCCTGAGAAGAACCCCGCGTATTGTTTGCTGACGACGAACCGGCTCCGAATAGGTCTTGAGCCAAGCCAGGTGTACGTGCAGTATGTTGACTGGCACCAAGTGCTTTGAGCTTAGCATGGCGTCTATAAGCAGCTTCTGGAGTCTTTTCGCCAATGACTTCCGGGCCTTGACCATAGACTCGAGATACAACAAATGGTGAACCACCTACCAAGGCCCCTTCTGATGGTCTCTTGATCAGCACTGGAGTATCGGCCAAGGTGTTCATCTGACGAGTTGATGAGCGGAATTTCCGGTGAGAGCGCGAAGCAGACTCGCTAGTGGAAGGTGACCAAGCCGATCTTGGGGAAAATCTGACACGGGATACTTGGTTGTTCAAGGGACTATTAGAGGTCTGAGAATTATCATCCGGGTTGGATCGACTCATCAAGAGTGAATTGAGTCTTTGTGACCGCTCCATCTCGCGGGAATGTAAAAGTCTTTCAGATTCCAATTCGCGTCGAAGTTTTTGAACCTCATCTTCGAGCACTCGAATCTTCTTAGTTGGAGTGACATTATGCATGTCGTCATCAGGTAAATCTTCTTCCATCACATCTGCATCAACTCGAGGTGATTTGATCAACCCAAGCTTCTTCATCACCTTGATCTTTTGATTTGGTTTTGGATGGCCAGGAGAAAAGGTCTTGGAAGCGATCGACGATGGTTCACCATTCGAGAATCCTTTACGTAATCCACGATAACTTTGCATCAAGCCCCGTTTACGCTTCTTTTCTCCATTTTGCTGGGGACTCATGTCACTGTCCGGACGTTCGAGTAGTTCATATGACATATCACCAGTTGGTTCATCTACTTCTGCAATGGTATCGGCATTCGGATGAGGTGAGCAAGAAGCCTCATCTGAAGATGTAAGGCTTAATCCTTGAGCTACAGGCTGATCAAATTGGGATGCAAAAGCTCGAGAAGTTCCGGATAAAGTGAATCGAGTTGGATTAAGTGAAGATGTATTAGTAGTCGAAGTCGAGCCGGTAGTACTTTCGTTTTCGGTTGCGCTGAGTAGCTGGTCAGATGTCGAGTTGGTTGAAAGATCTCTCATAGTAGGGTATGACACACGACAGTTCAAGGTAGCTTGTGAGCCCACTTTTGGAAATTGGCGGAGATTAGGCAATGATGGTTTGCCAATAACCTCATCCAATGGAACCTTGGGCCGCATACTCGGCTGATCATAGCTCGATGCAGAGCGAGGTACAACTTGAGGGGAATGAAAATGAAGACGATCATGAATGCCTGAAGTCAACTCGTTTGTAAGCTGTTCGCATTCGTCGTCAGGCCCGGTCCAGGAGTTATGAGGCTCGTTCAAATTATTGAGACTGATCGTGTTGGCTCTGATGAGATGGTGCCTGGTGTCCAGATTTGCATTTGGATGATTGGGTAGGAGTTGGTGGTAAGGTCGATCAGCTTGACAGAGACTATTGAGGGAAGATGGACTGGTAGCGCTCAGGGTATAAGGTCGATTCACTGATCGAGGCGCTCCCAAAAGCTTCGTGTGTCGAGGTCGAGGAGAGGCAACACTGCTGGTACGAGATTGGTGGCAAGAATCGATGTCGGCATTGGGGTTCACGATAGTCGAAGTGGTGGACGTAAGCGAGGTATGAGATGAAAATTGACCGCGTGAAAAGAGGCTCTGGCCAGTCAAGGAAAACGGAGAAGATTCGGAACTCGAAGTTGACTGCTCCATCAAGGTTCGCAGTGAGATTGGAGCACCAGTTTGAGGAGCATTCCTGAAGTGATTTAAATCGGACGAATGTCGCTCAAGATGTTTACCGGGTTGGTCTTGAGGGTCAGTCCGATTGATGTCCATAGAATAAGATTTTGAGGCAGAGTCTGCGCGACTAGAATCAGATTGATCAACCTGATCAACGCCATCCACTGACATTTGCTCAGAATCGGGAAATAGGACTGAATTCGAGCCAAACGGTTGGGAGCTGGTGACGTTGAATCCTGACTGCAGGATTTCCTCGCCCTCGAGATCTCCACCCTCGACCTGGCAAGGATGAAGTGACATTGCGCGCGAGTTGGCTGTAAGTCGTTTGAATAGTTTTCGAGATTTGTTTGGTGTGGCGCGGTTCGAAAATTTATCAAAACGAGAACGATCAGCATGAAATAATTTGAGGCTAGGAGAGAAAGATAAGATATGCATATTGAATGACTAAAATAACAAGAATTGATGTAATGCCACTGTTGAAGGATTTATATCAAATGCAAGTATGTTGCCAGAACTGAAGTCGTGAAAAAGCGCGAGTGACACTCAAGAGTCAACGAAAGACGCCAACTATTTAAGTAAACTAGTCGACAACAAATAATTTTCTGGTGGTACGCTCATCGGAGGTTCCACAGCGTGAGAATATCAAGCGCAAAATAGTTTTTGAACCCAGGCAGCCAAATGTTCCCGTGCTGATAAGTTTCTATGAGGAGATAATTGAGTTTGAAGAGTAAAATATCTGGTGCAAAGACCACAAACTGCCCCTTTAGGAATCAAGCTTCACAAGGATAATTATCTACCATGAGGGAAATTGGATCCTTGGGGGACAATAAGTGGGTTGTAGGCGACCCATGCCTACTCTCAATGAAAAAGGACGCTGATAGGTTTTCAGATCATCCTCATGTGGATGGTCTGGGAGATTGTTGAGTAACCTTCTCCGGATAGAGATGGCGTCCGACACCACTCAAGGTTTGCATGGGGCAAGTTCAGAATGTCTTTGATAAGCGACGGTTTAGAGCGGCCGATAATGCGGCCGCGAAGCACGCCTGCTGCCGTAAGACGGCCCGCTACGAGCTAAAGTGCATCGGTAGTATTGAATGACCTTGTATATGTTCTACTGGATGAAGCGATAATTCCAAGCGAGAGCGCATGAATGCGACGGTCAGGCCATGTGACCTTGTAAATGAAGGATAGCAACCTAGTCAAAAGCCACACATTGATATCTTCGAATAGAAGCTGGTGTCTCCTCGATGTATGCTAGCATGATAGACTTGTTGTTCTCATCAACAGAAGATGATGAACATCCGGGGTAAGCTGCCCTGAAAGATCACCTTAAGTCACGAAGAACCGGGTCATAAATCATCCAAGAAAGCAGGGTATATGTACGAATCCCTTTTCGACTGTGTACAAAACCAGCATGTGAAGACGCCATTTTGAACACATGGGTAGGATATGACACCAAGAGAAGAGCATCTACTCAGGTCAAAAAACGCGGTAAGCAATCCATCAACTCGATTCCGATTGAAGGAATCAAGCCGAGAAATGTTTTTTTGGCACATCGCATTGTTTTGAGTATGTTGGAATGAATTTGGGTTTGAAAAGATGACCAAGCAGGGTCAAGAGGAAAAGAGAGAGAAGAAGAAATTGAAACAGTGATGGATGAATGGAATCTTACCAAGTTGTGCGTTGATGGATAGTAAACGTGGACTAGTAGGTCCACTTGAAACTGAGAGTCTACAAGATGAATGTGATGATGGATGACCAGCTTGAGTAGTTGAATGTGATAATCTTAATTTTTTAGGTGGAGTAGGTTGATCGATAAGTTCTGATGGATTGGTAGTCTGATTATTCTTTCGATTAGATGATCTTTGAAATGGAAAGCTTGAGATTGGTTTCTTGAAGTGTGATAGAGGATCGGTTGAGTAGGAAGGATTAGTCTGAGATCGACTTGATTTTTTGAATTCATTTCGATTTGGATTTGATTTTTTGAGTTTAGATTGATGATTAGAAGAAGAAGACATCAAAGATTGAGGTGGAAGTTGTTCATGATGGCTAGGATCGATAAAGTTACCTTCCATAGCTTGAGAATAACCACCCTTGATGGTCTTCACAAAATCATTAAATTCTTTTTTGATCACTGATGGAAATTGAAAAGCTAATCCAAACCAAGAAGATGATGAAGATGAATGACTTGATAGTTCGGTTGGGTTTCGTTTTCGTTTTAAAATCGATTGATGAAGTTGAACATTAGGTGTGATGGATGAAGTGCTTGGTGGTTGAACTTGAGGAATCGATGAAGAACTTGAACTGTGCATGGTATTAAAATTAAATGAATGAATGAATCAAACGATCCAATCAACTTCCGATATGATGAATCGATGGATATTCAACTGTTGGGAATGGTTAGTATGTATTCAAGAACCACAACAACCTAAACGATTCACATTCATCAAAGGATATAAAGAAATAGAAAGTAGAAAAGTAGAGAAAAGTGGATCAGATCAGTGTGAAGTTTTGAAGAGCATCAAGGATTCCCTTTACATAGAAGTTCAACACATTCAATCTCATAGTGCTTCAATTCTAGTATTGGACCACCAAGTGTTTCGGTTTAATGCAAATTCACACTGAAATCGATAGATACCCTTCGAAGACTCAAACATTTAAGTAAAGATCGCGAGAAGTCGCGTCAAAATAAATTCAATACAAAACATCCAAAACAAACATTCAGGCTGAGAAATTAAGGAATATTTATCAAAATCAAATTGAACTAAACACCTCAGAGAAACTTAAGACTAAATCATCTAAGCTTAAATGAACACACCTCATCATTCCTCATCAAATCAGATCATCAACTCCTTTAAGAGATATATTTCTAATCTCTGATCCAAGAATGATTCTAAACTTACAGTAAAATTTCAATCCCAGACAAAACAAAATCGTCAAAGTTGATTTGTAAATTAAAAGCTACTTTCCAGATCTTTTCAAAGTCTTGGGTGAAATCAAATATCAACGTTGTATCTCATTTCTGATGAAAACTCATGACTCTTAAAAATATTAAAAGATGTTCAAGTCAAATGAAGATTCAATTAATAGTTCACCTTTTGAAAAAGAGAGAGAAGAGAGAAGAAGTACTTTGAGGAATTTTGTTAAAATTCAGTTATAGCTTTGATTGCAAAATTAGGAAATGTTGAGCCAGGTATGGATAATTTACACCCAACACTGTACCTGATCACTACATAGCCACACTTTGGATTTGATCATTATAAAAGTTCTTTATAAAATATGCCTTATGCTTATAGAACAAGTACAAACCTTTGACTTACACTATGATCAATTCGAAACCAAGATGATCTAGTCTAATTCTAAAAGATTTCAAATTTCAATAAAAACAAACCGCATCTCTTTAACATCAATGCTGATTATTTCACAATAAACAAATCCTAACCGAAAAAAAGAAAAACGGATCAAAAAACGAACAAAAAAAAAGAGGAAGACATGAGTTCTATACAAGAATCATCTTTTTAATGTTCTTTGTTTTTCAGCATGTTGAACGATTTTCTTCTCAACAAACATTCCCTATAAAACCAAAATTCAAAAAACAAGAACCATCAATAAATCAATCCAACAAGACACTCTAATTTCCAAACAAAACAAAAAAAACCACCCCGTTCCCCTCTCCCAAAGAAGAAAAACAATCTTTAAAAAACTAACCTTTCTCTTTCTAACCGATTCCATATACTTTTTAGCCGTATTTTCCTTATCAGCCTTCTCACCGAAATCTTCTAATTCTTCATCTGTCTTAGGTATCCAAAATGGATCTTGATCAATCTTTAAAAACCCATCAAAGATTAATTGTGGTAAAGCAATCCCAGATGTTTTTGACATCAATTCATCATTAAATCCAAATGATTCGATAATCGGTAATTTAGCTTTAATACTATAAAACGTCGTTCCATCTTTAATTTCTTCTGAAATGATCGTTCCTTTTCTTCTAGAGACTACTGCATATACTTTACCTAATACATCAGCTAGATTTTTTTCGGTAGAATATGATCAAATCAAATTAGTCTATCTAGATCAGTGGATTTGATTCATTGTGGATGGAATTCAAGAAACTAACTTGTAGCTTGAATTTCACATATATAAGTAGCCAAAAGTAATCGTGGTGACCAATCCAACATAGCATTCTTCATCGATTCTTGTAAAGAAGAAATCAACTCTCCAGTAAGTTGAGACCATCTAGATCGAACTAAAGATCCAAAATCCAACCAACAAATCCAACTTCAATCATCACTTCACTCTTGATCTTCCAAATGACCATCCCACTTACTTGATTCTACAGAAGCTTTGCTCCTATCTAGTTCTAAATTTTGGATTGAAAAACTCATCCCTGATAATGGTTCTGCACATAAGGGTCCTTTGAGGGTGGTTAATTGAAATGCAGTTTCAATCGATTCATCAAATTCACGTAAATCTATACTAGCTGGATTGGTTTCATCTTTAGAATCTAGATCACTTGAGTCAGGTAATGATTCTGATACAACTGATGCATCAGGTTGTTGTTTAGTACGTAATGCTTTATGTCTAAACGAGAACACGCGTCTTAGTAAAGGTATGATAGACTACAATCAACTCGTGTTTGAAAAACGCACTTACGATCGATTTGAACGAGGTAATTGATCTAATAATACATTAGGTCCAGTTCGTCTAGGTCCAAATGCCCATATCTTCTCCACAAAATCTTTTAAATCTTCATCATTAGTAGAAGAATGATAAGCTTGATATTTTTCATCAAGACTATTCCAAAAGACTGTTCCAGCCTTTACAGAAGAGATATCATCAACATCTGTTAGATTAGTCTGGGGTAAGTCATCTACTTCATCGGTCGAAACAATTCCTTCTTTGGAAGGTAGAGGTAAAGTCTTTTTCGTTTGATCCGACCGATGACGTGGTGCAATGTTTCGAATCAGATCTGATGACTTGATCAGATGATCGGTGATCTGATCAGGTAAAGGTACTGCTCGAATAGTGTATGTTATCAAGCCATTTGAAACTGAACCAGAAACAGTACCACGAGGTTGATCTGGGTTTTTTAAAGGTACCATCTCTAGAATCAGAAATAAATAGGGAATCTCAGCTCATTAAACGAAGGCATAGACTTGTTGAAATAAAAAGCTGACCTGTAGTACGAATCGCAGTCTCTCGGAAAGGGACAATCGGCTTGGAGGCGTGTATCTTGATCTTTGCAAAACGTTCTCTTAAATCGCTCAAGCATCGCTTATCGCCACAACATCATCATGAAGTAGAAGATTTAGGTCAGCTAGTTTGCTGATAACTTCGATCGCTGATCTCGACTAAAGGCGTACCTCTAAATGCACTTCTCCTGATGTTAAGATCACATGCTCACCAGTGTCTTGAATCAGGGTTTCCACGCAAGGATCGGATTGGTTGAGTAATTTCAGCCCTTCGACGAGTTTTGGCATATCAGATGGCTGCTTTGGTTCGAGGGTGACCCGAACCATTGGTGTTGACTAGCAATAGAGAAGATAAACAAAATCAAATTGTTGAACAATAAAATCAAGATGTGCAACAGATCATGATGACTAACAGTAAGCCGTACGCCTGCAAGATTGATGAGCGGTAATGAAAGAGGTTCCATCGGCGCAATCGTAGCACTAGTATTGTCCACAATCGGATTCGAAGCTAATGGTCTACCACATAAAGTGGCATTCCTAAGAACCTTTCCAGCCAAACCACCAATTCCAAAGACATGACCTGCTTTAACTTCATTTACCAGAGTAAGTGATCGTCCCATGATCATATACAAGTTTTCAATGGTAACCTCTTTGGTATTCGCTTTGCGTGCTTCTGGTGTATCTTTCTCATTGTACCTCGGCAGAACACATGTTAGCCTTTGATTGACTTTGACGGTTCCTGAATATATCCTCGCGAACCCGATGAGAGATTCTTCGTCTTCATCTGATATCGGTGGTTCCACAGACGATTTCGGAGGTTCTTGGGGTGGTTCTTCTCTTTCTATAGGCTCTACAAGCGTAGCTACCGGAGGTGGGGATGCGACAGCTGATGATACAATGCTTGAATCTGGTAAGATTTTTGTTACGCTTTCACCCTCTACTGTTTCTCCATCAACCTGTACAAGCTTAGATTGGAGATTTGCACGAGCTTGTCGACCTTTTTCACGCATTTCGTTGGCCGTAAGCTGCCTTCTTTGAAACTGCGGTAGTTCATTGGTTGGAACTGCAAACATCTTACTGACATAAATCACTACATGTGCGTCATCTGAGTCGCGTCCTGAATATAAATCTTTTTCCAACGGATTTGTCACCACTAATTCATTCAGATCGTTGAGGTGAGGGTGGAGAATCTTGGGAAGACGCAGAGATTGTGATGCGATAGGATCAGGTATCTTGGTCACTATGGTTCTAAAAGTCGCGGTAGAGATCGGTAGCCATTGTGAGCAAATCGAGCCAAGTAAATTTTTAGTATCTTTAGATTTAAGCTCTTGTGGTCGAATTTTGATTTCTAGGGAATTAATGATCTTTTGAGTTTTAGCCAGATCACTTGAAAGATCTCAGAATCGTCAGTAATCTCATGTGAGAATGTAAGCAGAATAAACTCACGGGTTTAAAATCACTGCATCATATACGGCCCATAGATTATCTAAGATGAACTGTACAAACATCGGTTTAAGACCTGGTCTTCCATTCAATTGTTTCTTTGTTAAGACCATTTTTGACTTTTGATCAAAGAAATAATCACCCCATAAGCAACGTTCTAATTTATCTTCTTTGATTCCCAATTTCTTTGACCAAAGATGAGAAAATTTTGAAATCGTAAATGACCAATTATCAATCGCCGACGAAAACAAAACATCACCTTTGGTAGGATTAAAATATAAATCGGTATCATCAGTTTCTTGAAATTCTTCTGGTTTGATTAAATTCGGATCTTCATTTTGTTTTTCTTGTGCTTCTCGCCATTTTAAATCTTGTTCCATTCTTTGGGTTACAAAAAATGAACCCATGACAGCATTAACTTGTTCGACTAATCGTACAAGATGATAATAAGCTTCTGTTGGTGAGAGACGTAGTTCAGTAATAAGACGATCCATTTTGTTGATCACAAGGATAGGCTTGAGTTGTTCATTCCATGCCTGTCGTAGAACATTGATAGTCTGAAAATGAATCATAGGTTAGCTTCAAGACCACAGAGTAGATTCACAAACCAAGAAGACTGATTCACTTGTGTACAGACTCCTTCTACTACATCAACCAAAATCAAAGCTCCATCACACAATCGACTTGCAGTAGATACCTCGCTAGTAAAGTCGACATGCCCGGGTGTATCAATCAAATTGATGATATAGTCTTCCATATGATCCGTTCCATCCGAATCCTTGCGTAAGATTTTGTAAGATAAGGATACCGCACTTGATTTCATGGTGATACCACGCTCCTGTTCATCAGGTCTCGAGTCAAGGTAACGCAATTTTCCCGCAAGCCGTGGTGAGATGATGTTATTGGCAGCCAGTAAGGAATCCGCATAGCTGGATTTACCGTGATCCACATGGGCAAGCTATAACCAAGAGAGTTAGGAGTCGGTAATCAGAAAATTATGCGATATTCTAGGTAATTGGAAAGACTTACGATGCAAACATTTCGAATGTTAACAATTGGTTTTGAATCTGCTGAAGTCGCCATCTTCTAGAAGAAATGTTGATCAAACTGTCAAAATATCCAAATTTGTTGGTGATGAAATATTTTACATACGACCAGCCCACAACATGTCATCCGGAGACCCGACTCGACACTCATCGGTCCAATGACTTCAAACTCGATCGCCAGTCACCATTTTCAAGTTGGCACCAACCAACAACATTCCAATCAAAATAAAATTACCACACCATTTATCAACCTCAACCTCAACATGAACCAACCTGAACTATCTCATCTACAAACTCTCAACCTAATATCCACTCAATTAGCATCAATTGCCACCCAAATCTTAAACTCCAAACTAGAAGCTGGTCCATCAAATCTTTCATCAGAACCAGATTCAGTCAATGAACTTTTACCAGAAGCTGCTTCACTCTTTGCAACCTTAAAAGCTGTCAATCGTTTAAGTTCATCAACTGTTGGTGATTGTAAATCTAAAACAAATCAAGCTCGTGCTGAATTAGATTCGATTCATTTGGGTTTACAAAATTTGGTGTATGAACGTCGTCATCTTGAAAGAGAAATCAAAAAATGTCATGAGTTTGAGTAAGTTAATTTTTAAAATTGATGCCTAAAATCCGGTTTTCCTTACGCTTGGAATTATCTTTTCTACAGATCAGAATATCAGAATATCGCGATACATCCAATTGAAGAATTTGTTAGCTTGATGGAAGCCTCTGGAACACCTGTTCCTAGTGACTCTCATGAACTGATGTTGGCAAGGCTAAGATATGAGCTTGCAGAACGGAAAAGGTACTCACTTTTGGTGATTTGTTTCAAATGCAAGTTCTCAGCTGATATAACTCCTCGTCTTATTCTGTGCAGGTTTGAAGGCGAGAAGAAAGAACTTTTACAACGTAAAGTTAAACTTTCAAAAGATAACGATGAGAAGAAAGCGAAATTAGATGAACTTGAAAAACAGTTGGACCAATTCGTCATTGTCAGTCAATCAGAACCTTTCTTCTTGATCTCACGGTAAAAGATTGTGGCTAAAGATTGATTTCGTTTATTTCTTTTGTCATCTATTCAGTCTACTAAAGAAATTCAAGCGAAAATGGCAGCACAAGCTTGAATATCGATCTCAACGGTTCTTTCGTCCTCTTCTCTACCACAATTGACATCAGCGTTTTGTGGACCAGTGTTTCTTCTCAGAGAATTGGATCATGATCCGAGTTTTTAATCCAAAATGATCAAATAGACATCCAAACTTTGTTGTAATTTTATTTCCGGATAGTCTAGTTCCTCACTTACCAAATTGTATATCCTATCATTGTCTTGTGAAATGTGGTGAGCGCGTGCAACCAGAAGTCACTCCGATGCCTACCAGCAGACTTTTTCAGGGGTGTAATAGACTCGGTCCCCTACGGCCTGTGGCCTGTGTGATGTATCTAGCATTTCTGCAAACATGGTGCCCCCGAAACTTCAGCATGGACGCGTAGATCAAAAAACGACCTACAAAACTTCTGCTCAAATCTCGAAAGTATGTGCTCTGCTAATTTGCTTAAACGCCAAGTGATGTCTTTGTTGTGCCGCTCATATAGAAGCAATCAAGCCGGAGAAGTCAAACTGATCTCTCAAGTATCAGAGAGAAACAGTAGGATTCAGACGGCGTAAAGACTAGAAAACCCCAACCATTGTTGAAATCAGTCAATAGAGGACTCAAAGGCAGCACGCCTAAGAGAAGATCAGTATCCTGAGTAAAGACTACATAGATGTATGCAAAGTTGTTGACACCAGTACAAACAGCAAAAACAGCCATTCTGACAGTGCCAGGGCGCATCTGGAGTCTATTCCCAAATTTTTAAAAACCGCTGAGGATGGAGAATTCAAGGTAGTTCATTCAATAAATGCTGATGATTTCAAATGGTACATATATAGATCACACAGCCTTCTATCAAAAAAATATGCCAGCATGTAACCAGACAAGTATTGCCCAGCACATGAAAATAAGATATTGTAGTGCCATTTAAAGATATCACCGCTTGTTCAAAAAAATAAGACCGCAATCTACTCCTGAGTCCTACGGCCTGATAAGAAATGAAAGTCATAAATCAGTTTCTCTGGTGAAATCAAGAATCATGTAAATTCTAATGACTCCTTTCCTGGTCAACTTTTTTGGTGGACTCCTCAGATTTCTTTTCGCCTCCTTCCTGTCCTTCTTGGAAAGTTCCTGAGGAACGAAGAGACAGAAGATAAGAAAGCAATCAGAATTATGCTTAGATCATGACTTTAGTAGGACTCAATTCGGTTACACCTCTTCCTTGCAGTAGCATCTTTGATACTATAGTCTACAGGACTGCTTAGATCAGAACGTTTGAAAATTTTGGGAAGCCTAAGACCGCAATGTTCCTCTGCGGATTGAAGTGATAAGAAGAAAACATATGAATCAGTTTTTATGATGGAAATCAAGAATCATGTGAATTATACTGACTCCTTTGTTGGTCAACTCTTTTGGTGGACTTCTCCTGTCCTTTCTTCTTGGAATGTTCCTGAGGAAGGAAGAGATCAAAGAGATGAGAAAACCATCAAGACTCAGCTTATATTGTGATTATAGTAAGACTCAGTTTGGTAACACTGACACCTCGTCCTTGCAGTATTATAATTGATACAGTAGGACAGTTTAAATCAGCATGCTTGAACAACTTGTTGAGAAACCTAAGACCGCAATGTTCTCCTACAGAAAAATCAGACGAAAACATTTGAATTAGTTTATAATTCTTGATCAAGAATTATGTTATAAGTTCTACTGACTCCTTTGTTGGTGACCTTTTTGGTGGACTCCTCAGAATTATTGTCACCTGCTTCCAGTCTCTTCTTCTTGGAATGTTCTTGAGGGAGCAGGAGATAGAAAGAGATAATAAATCATTCAAAATTACGCTTAGATTGTTACTATTATACAACTCACAGTGTATCAAATCTGATCCTTGAAGGAAGAGCTATCACAGAAGTGAGTCCTGCTATAATCATAATCTGAGCATATTTATGATTGATTTCTTATCTCTTACTCCCTCAGGAACATTCCATTAACAAGAGACAAGAAGAAGTTGAAGAGAATATTGGGGAGTCCACCAAATTGAAACAGGTGACCAACAAAGGAGTCAGTAGAATTCACATAATTCTTGATTTCATCATAGAAATTGATTGATACCTTTTCAGACCTTTTCTTCTTATTAGGCCGTAGAAGAAAATGGTGGTCTTAGGTTTCCCAACCAATTCCAACCTATTGATCTAAGCAGTCCTGGTTGTTTTGAATATGGTACTGCTAGGAAGAGGTTGGTCACAGAAGTGAGTCTCCTATAACATAGTCATAATCTTACCTTGGATGACTTTCTTATTGCTTCCTATCTCTTGCTCCCTCAAGAACATTCCAAGAAGAAAAGACAACAAGGAGATGAAGAGAATTCTGCGGAGTCCACCAAAAAAGGTGACCAACAAAAGAGTCAGTAGAATTGACATACTTCTTGATCTGATCATAAAAACTAATTTATACTTATTTTTCTTATTGATCAATAGGAGGAGATTGTGGTGTAAGCTTTCTGAACAAGCGGTGATATCGTCAATGACACCATTGTTTCACTTTGATGTGTTGAGCTCTACTTGTCTGGTCACATGTTTACCTGCTTTTTTGATAAAAGTATGCGTGCTCTATAGATGTACTACCATTTGAATTCATCAGCATTTCTTGAATGGATGACTTTGAATCCTCCTATCTCCTGAGAAACGAAGAGGCCACGCAGTCAATCATAGGGCCTTGTCAAGTGCATTTCGTAACTTTGTGGTTTGTTATGCTGATACCCAACTACAATTCCTTTGCACAAGTAAAAGTGTTCAAGCCTAGGGTGAGCATAGAATTTTTATCAATTGGGAGATGATCAGCCCCTCTAGGACTGATGATGACTTGCCACCAATCTCATTAATATTATTGTACGATCACCTCACCTCGGACTCGACATACCAAAGCTTCAGGTACTGCGATGGCCTCGACCCTCTACACCCTGAGTGCTACCACTACGTCCTACCTCAATAGCCTTTGCATGGCTGATCGGCCTGATCATCAACTTCCACTCGATAATTCACCGGGTCTGGCGACGAATAACATATGACAAGCTCATGAGTCGCCTCCCTCTTCATCTTCTCAGCTTGAGGGATACGTCAACGAAGACCTTCCTTATGAGTCAGTACAAGGAACTGGTAGGTGGTGAAAATATAGGATACGGCAGGTAAGCAAGACCGTGTTTAGATAGGCCCTTGCACATAGTCATGGATGATAGAGGTGCCTGAGGATGTCTGACGTCGGGTCCCTTTCTTTATCCTATATAAATTACAAGCTCTGCACGATCAGAACTTAGAAGATGACGCACGCAACCCCATACAGTCAAACCCGCGCTAATGCATAAATTGGGGAGACAATTTTTGCTATGCATTATTGCGGGTTATGCAAATAGGCATAAACCCCCATAATGCATATTTGTATGCATATTGGCCTAAATGCATTGAAATATGCATTATGACGGGTTTTTGTTGAAATTGTATAAGTTTATGCAATAGTACGTTTGTATTTTGCGCGGGTACAAGGACAAGATATTTTTTTGACACCAAAAAAAACACCACTAGGGGTCGGTTTGACCCCATAGAGGGCTCATTGCTGCCTGATGTTGCCAAAATCCTACTTGCAAAGGATTTGATCAGAGTTCAATGGAAAAAAAACACATCCTGGGGCGCTTTGTAGGCATGCATTATGACTTTGGGGACTTGAAAAGAAGTATGCATTATGGTTTTTGACATAATTATGCAATTAATGACAAAATTGGCCCGCACCAGCTGGGTGGAAACCAAAACTTATGCATTTTGGCTGGTTATGCATGTGCGCGGGTATGCATGTGCGCGGGTTTGACTGTAAACTGCTTACCAACTCTCTCCACACGCCATGCATCGTAAGTCTATGGATCAAGTTGAGTGCTTGTGTGTCAGATGAATGATCTTGAGGTGATCAAGTCTTAGATTTCAGTCGCGATCAGAGAGACGGAAGATTGAGTGACGGTCACCAAAATCTACCTGAGATCCTTATTCCCTCTGACTCTCTAAAGCTTTCGAGCTTGACGTTCAACTGATGCTAAAGACCGATCTAACCCCTGAAGGGCTCACATCTTCAGACGAACTGTCACGCTGAGCCTAGTACCTACAACAACATTGGCAACGTCGGCAGAGCTACAAATAGCCAAACCGTTATGGCCTTGTGCGATCAAACTGCATGAAGATGTCTTCAAGAAATTTCAAGGAAGGTTTTTTGTAATGAAACCTTGACGGAAGATGATCGTCCTAAGTTTTTCATCAAATCAAATCCCATCTATGAATTCACAACCTTTCATAGATTCATGATGATAGGACGATGACCTTCCCGAAAGTATGACACAATTCAAACTTGTCGATTTCAAAAGGTATCCAATTTTGTCCGAGAAATCCCTTAAGCTAATTGTAGGCAGTTCATGATGATCGCATTTGAGACTGGATATACCATTTCCCATGTCATTCCTTGTCCACTCAAAAACAATCAAAACATTCGCTTCTCTTGACTTGGCCACGATTCATCGGTCTTGAAAAATCTCACTTGCGCAACCACTCAACTCTTGTCAGTCAAAGTGATCAGTAGGCATATATGACTAGGAGCCAACGACGAATAACACTCGATATCCTTTTCTCACAAAACAAAGGTCTTCGTCATCTCACGCGGTCGACTGTTTCAAGACACCCGTTTTAAAATTTACCCGAGTCTACGAGAAATGTACACCAAAGCATGAGGTTTTCTTTGTCTCCGACTTCACCCTTTGAACGGTAACCGATGCGATAAACGACTTTAGACATATGCATACATACATATATTTGAAACACACACACATCCTTTCAGTCTTATCAAATCCAACAGTCTATGTACATACCTCCCTTGAAATGATATGTGAATTCTCTTTGCAAAAAAATGAACCTCAACTTTAATTTTCAGTTGCTATGACGGGCCCTCAATTTTTTATGCGTTTCTCCACACGTAGATCTAGGATTTCGAGCACATACCCAGAGCTCAAAGGAAATACAAAAACGTCCAGACTTCTGATTTCTAGAAAGTTCAATGGATAAATAAGTTTCGAATCTTTTTTTGGTGGTCTTCTATAGTTTAGAAATCAAGTCTTGATGTCACATTTGTATGAGTCAACTGATCCATTCATTCGAGTTACAATATGATCGTTCTCTTCTATGATCACGAACGGTAAGCCACATACATACATTCATCTGACCTGCTTCTTCACGAGCCTTCTCCAGAAAGAAATCAGCGCAAAAGCCATTTTTCTGCTTCGTCTGATTTGAATTAGGATTGAACTTATAAAACTGCACGTACCCGGAAGGTGTATTGAACTCTGATGACGAGATGAACATGAGCCGAAAAGCAGCTGAGCAAAGTAACAAAAGAGTCGCGATTGACCATGACATGGTTTGTTGGGCTCAGACTCAAGAGTGAAGCAGGAAATCAAGATTCTAAAACCTTTAAAAACCTCAATCAAGTCCAAACAGCAAGTTCAAACATAAGCTCAAAGTTAACTAAATACCGATAAAGATCACCAAAAGCCACCAAGGATTGAACAAATGAAACACATTCAACGGAAGTAGGGATTCAAAAGCGTTGAGGAGAATAGAGATACATATCATCAAATCTTCTTCAATCATCCATTCACTCGTTTTCATATAAAACAGATCCGTTTCCGTGCGTGCGTGCGTTTTTTTCTTTGATATGTGGCTGGTATTCAAAATCTAATGCTCACTGTACCCTTCTTAGAACTTCTTCTTTAAATTACAGAGCAGAAGAAATTGTACCAAACTCATCATAAACGGTTCAACCAAATCAAAACACTCTTGATTGATTTTTTTTTCAACTTTTGTATACTTCGAATTTTATCCCTTTACAAAAATTCAATTTAAATCCAGAAAAAACAACAATAGTAATAATTTCTTATGAAAATTTCTTAATCCAAAAAAAAAAGAAATGTTGTAAAGCAAACTCTGTGATATCGAAGGAAATCCTTTCCGCCCTTCTACCTCAGAAAAAATATATACACACATCCAAGAACAAATAAGCCCGTTTCCAAGTCCGATTTATGTTGTAGCCTCTTTCTTTCCCTCTTGACCCTTCTGAGACTCTCTCTGTCTTTCTCCCTTTGCTTCTCTGTGTGTCTAAGTGTGTGTATGTATGTGTGTCAGGTCAGAGGTTCAGGTGTGTTAAAAAAGTGGGTACGAAAAGAAAAAGAAGAAAAAAACATTCTCAACTTCAAGCCCTGTTCGTCAAAATTGAAGTTTTTTTTCCTTTAGTCGTCCTTCCAAGTTTCAAAACTATTCCTCAAACTCTAGATCCGAGACTGATTTCTCAATTACCTCAAGCAATAGATCGTCATCCCTTTCTGAATTTCCCCTGTCTCTTCCTTTTTTCCATCATCAAACTCTTATCTCCCTCTTCTCCTTCCGACAAACATCTTTTCAATCAAGTCTACCCAAAAATACCCACCTACCCTCCTTGCCGAAAGTAAGGCTTCATTTTAACAGTCTGACGGTACCAATTTCAGACATCACCATCATCTCATCCTGAAATCTTCGAAAGAAATCAATCAAACCTACCCAAGAGTTTCATATCTTCTAATCGGATCCTAAGTTGAAGGTCTAATCCAGTGTGATTGATCAACTGGTTTATTTTTGACTCTTCTTTCAACTTTTCTCTCTGATCTAGTACTCCAAGAACCCTATCAATCGTCCTCTCAATCTCGTTTCCTGCACGCAAGTTCGCTTTGTGTTGTTGTTCATTTGTCTTGTTTCCAGTTAATAATCACATCTGTCTATCTGTGTGTTATATCGAATTTTGTCCACATCATTTCTTTTGCTTCTCGACCATTGCAAATCGTTCATACATATCATCTTACCCGGTTTTTTTTCTACCCATACAAACATTGTTTTTTTTTGCTCGGTGATCTCATTTACTTTTCTTACCACCCCTTTGTTCATTCTCCAAGCGAGTCACCGGCGCTACAATTTATTAAAGGAAGCAAGCAAGCAAGCAACAAGGAAACAGCAAGCAGGCAAGAAAGGAACCCCAAGCATTCATCACTCAGACTCAGACCTCATCGTTTAATTTTTTTGAAGAATTCAAGCAGAAGTCCAAAGTCATCTTTATCCATCCGAACACACCCCCATCATCTAAAGGAATAGATCTATACAAGGGGTTCAGGAATCGAAATCGAGAAATTGAGAAATCGAATTAAGTTTGTTTTAGTAAGATCGATCGAAATTGGATTTTGGTGAGTACATCAGTCAATTTGATTCATCAGAGTTGCATTAGTGTGATTTTTTTGGGGGGGGTGGTGGTAATCAGACCAGTTATCCTGACTACAATTCCCTGTCTCTATCACTTCTAACCCTTGCATCGCTCTTCGGTTACAATCTTATCCCTTTGATGGGATCAATCCAATGTGATAATTTACTATATATCAATCATGACCATTTGATCATTGAAGAATCGGTTTCTTGGAAGACTCTTCGAAGATTCGATTCGAGTTTAAATCCACTTCACTTGACTATCATTTCCCTTCCAGAGTGTCTTTACCGTTGAAACCCGATTTAGTCAAAACTCATTAGGAAACTCACTCATCCTTTTCAAGAATCATCACTGAAAAAACACTTGTCAGTCATCGGAGTTTGAATTTAACTTTTTTTGTGGAGCAATCTTGTTAATTCGTTTGGATACTAATCTGATGGTTGTTTGGTTTACTTGATCGTCATCATCATCCTCATCATCAATAGAAGAATCCAAGTAAGCTGAATCGAATCCAATCCAGTGTTTGATTCTGACTGCTTACTGAGACTTATGCTCGGTTTGATTTGTGTGTGAATGAAGTTCAACGGAAACCAAACCACATCCCCAAAGGTTAATCGAAATCTTTGAGATTTGCAAACCCAGTGAGTTGAAGGTTTTTGAAAACGTCGACTAATCTTATTTGAGCTTATAAATCTCATTATATTTTCTGATGAACTCGATGATCGAATATTAAAGATTATTAAAATTTTTGAAGGAGAGAAGTGGATGAATTGGATTTCATAAGCTTGATCATCAATCCACAACATCCAGAAATCTACTAGCGAGAGAATTATTATATATCCGAAACGCGAACCGAGATTGATTTTGATTTTGATTGGATTGGATTGAAAAAGAGAAAGTGTAAGTCGAATTGCACTTTAGCCAGAGTGTGTACAATATATGATATCATTACCCCTTCATCCATTCCAAACCCAATCCACCAATGCTAGATTGGATGACGAAGATTAAGAATACTGACTTATTATGGATCTCTTTTCTCTTCTCGAATTCTACTAATACTGATACTGATACTGATTAGTCAAGCCTTCTACTTCAACTTTCTATCTACTCAAACTCTCATTGATTATTTTCCTTGATCCAAATCAATAATAAGAATCTAATCAGTCAATTCAACTTGAATTAATCAATCAGTTTATCTGACTTGATTATCATCAGTTTACTTGATCATCTGTTTACCATTCTATATCTTCTCTTCTCTTCTTCTTGATTTTAATATCTTGAGATTTTCATTTGAATCGGTTGACTTGATAGTTGAACTTATTCTCAATAGTCTTGCATTGAATCATTTCGATTCTTGACTGTTTACCATTCTCATCTTGCACTGGCATTGGCTATCTTTATTAGTTTATTTGTTTTATTTTAAATATCATCATATATAGTTCAACTCGGCTTCTATTCATCAAAACATCATGCAGCATAATTCATCGCACCATTTTGATTGGTCTAACAATCCAACTTCAAATCATCAGCATCATCATCTCAATAATATAAATAATATCAATAATCAAATTCAAAACAATCATATCAACAAGACTAATACTACCACAACCAACAATCGAGAACTACAACCACATCAACCACAGGAATCACTTCAACAGCATCTCATACCGAATGTAAAATCACTCCCACCGCTCTCTTTACCACAGCTTAATAGTTTACCATCTTACACTTCATCCTCATCGCTCTCTCCACGTTCTACTTTACATTCTCCACTCTCATTTCCCTCCTCACACACCAATCAACCATCAAATCAACCCATCAATAAACTTCATTCTAATTCTTTATTTGATCATCATCCATTGTCTCCCATCGGATCTCAGTTCAATCAAAAAAAGTTTTCTGCGTCATTACCTGTTAATAGTGCTACTACTACCACTACAAACTCTTCTGTTTCCTCGCCTCAACCATCCCATTTGTTCAACCATTCCTTTGGTTTAATAGGTGGTAGTGCTCAATTATCTCAAGATCAACCTATTTTTAAACCAACAACCGCATCTTCAACAAATCAAACGTCATCTGATCCAATTAGAAACCGTGATCCTCAATCTACTGGTTCACTCACTTCTTCATCGAATTCCTCAACTCATCCTGATTTCGAATTGTTCCACAATCCGAGTACCCAATCTTCTGCTCAATCTGATCCATCTTCAATTGGTTCACCACATCACTTAGTTTCATCTTCTCCCCCTCAACTCACTCGCACTTCCTCAATTATTCCTCAATCCCACTTATCAAACTCAGTCGATCATCATTTCAATCCTTCTGCTTCATCTGATGATTCTTCTTCCCCTCCTCCGCACTCTCCAACCTCGCCGAATTCGCCGTCTTCTACTCTCCATCATATCAATCGACTTCAATCAAATCATAGCGGCCAAAACCAACAGAAACAAAACAGCATCCATGACAGTCCTCATCTTCAACAAAACCTCAGTGTCAATAATGTTTCCAGCCAAAATAACAAAACCAATGGGACCAACAATCTCAACACTTCGGACTCCAATGCTCTTCCCCGCTCAACTACCACACTCTGGATGGGTGACCTCGAGTCTTGGATGGATGAGGATTATGTCAGAGCTTGTGTGGTAGGGATGGGATGGCATCTGCCTCATCACGCTAATCCACACCCATTGAATCTCAAGATCAAAATGGTCAGTGGAGCTAGCCCCTCCTCGGCTTACTGTTTCCTCACATATCCGACAGCCCAATTGGCTCAAGAAGCATGGAAGATGATCAGCAACATGCCTCCAACGCTCATGCCGGGATGCGAGCGTACTTTCAAGGTTTGTACCTCCTATCCCTTTCACCGACCTTGGCTACTTGACCTCTCATTGACCTTGTTATTGGTCTATGCGCGATTTGTATTAACAGTTGAACTGGGCCACTGGCCTTCCAGGCGTTCAACCTACTTGGGATCGGGAATTTTCGGTCTTCATTCGTGATTTGGATCGCGAAGTTAGTGAAGGAGAATTGGTCGTGAGTTAGACCTTTTCTTCCTACCGTCCCCACGTTATCAAACTAATTATCATCCACGACCACCAGTCACTCTTCACCCAAACATTCCCTTCAACCAAATCTGCCAAAATCATGGGAGATCTTTCCACCGGTCTTTCTCGTGGATATGCTTTTATCAGATTTGGTGAGGAGAGTGACATGCATCGCGCTCTCGCACTCGGTCGTTTGAAGACCGGCACTGGGATGTACCTCCGAGGACGAGGTATTAAAATCAGTGAGGCCAGTGGCTCCAGTGGTACTGCCGGCGATCAACATCCACATCATCACCGAGCATCGCTTCCTGCTCAATCCCCACAGCCCCTCACAAAGCCGAATCCGGACAGGCCTCGCCAGTCTTCTCTTGGGCTTGCTACCTCGACCATCGCTGCCCGGCCTCCGTCAGATATCAAGTCGGAAGCTCAACCTCTCCACCGTAGTTCGCTACCGGTGCATTCTAATTCTGAGCAGAGAGTTAATCCGCTCTTCAATCGTGACGCTGACTTGGTAAGCACAATCAACTTCACCCTCGTATTTTACACTTTACTTGAGCTGACAACCGATCTGGTCAGCCCCCAAACTTATCCCAATCACATCAGAGCCTTGGAATTTCCCGTGCGAATCTGCTCAATGCTAATCCCGCCAGCGTCCATAACATTCAAGGCCCCGCCGTCGGCCGACCAGGCCTGCAAACTGTTTCCAGTTTTCGTCCCACACAGACTGGACCACCATATCAGCTTTTACCATATCAACGAGCTTCAGTGTGCATTCCACCGACTTCTGGCTCTCCGCTTTATCCTAATGGGACCGCGAGAAACAATATCACCCCTATCACCGCCGGTCGACCGCATCCATCCAATTTGATCTCCGTGAGCAATCCGCCTCACCGTCCTCAAGCATTTTATCCGACCCTCAGCCACATGAGGAACTCGATTGCTGCGCCTGGATACGTACCGGGTAAGCCTCGAGCCATCCTTTTTCGCACAGTAAATGATCAAAACGTCATTCATGCGTCCTCTTTTTCGTAGAATCGTTCCTGTCCCCGCAACCTGCGCCTGCACCTTATCAGCTCCATCCAGGTGTGGTAAGCATGGGCAATTTCTATACCACTCCTGCACCCGCGGTAGCTACCCCTCGCAACCTCGCAGCGGCCCCGACCGCTGGGTATTTTTCGCAAGGCAGCGCTGCCCATTTCGCTGCACTTGCTCAAATTGCCGTTGCAGCGAACCACGCTAACAACGACCCCTCAAATACCACGGTCTTTGTTGGTGGATTACCTGCTTGCATCAGCGAAGAGACCTTGAAGGTTTGTTCTCTTCGCTTCCCGGTCTCTGATGACATGAGAGTCCAACTTATCTGACCTCGTTTCCTTCCCTTCCAGACCTTTTTCCAGAATTTCGGTGAGATCACTTATGTGAAGATACCACCCAACAAGGGCTGCGGATTTGTTCAATACGTGAGACGAGCGGATGCCGAAGCAGCTATGCTGAAGATGCACGATTTTCCAATCCATGGTAAATCGAGAATCAGACTAAGCTGGGGTAGATCTTTAGGAGACAAACAAGTTGAATACGTACGGAAGCTATCGAGTGTCTTGGGCATCCCATTTGAAGCTGTTTGGAAAATTGTAGAAGGCCAAGATCACTCGACTATTAAACAGATTGCTTCCTCACTTGGTCATACCACTCACCAGCCTCCGACTCCAACTCCGGCACTTCTTCCCGCGTTTCATTCGACACCAGGCCTGATTGGTGTCAACCCTCCGGGATACGGAGATCATCTGCTTGATCTGTCGATCCGCCAACAAGGTCCTAGGGTAGACTCGGGTGGTTACATAACCCAAGCAGGACCTCAACAACAAACCCTCGATCACAACAACCGCTTTGCCAGCTTCGACAGTCTCAATTCAAGTCGGTATGCGACACGTGAGACACAAGATCAAATCAGACACAGCCTCAACACTGGGGACCAATTCACGACTGTCATTGCACCGGACGATTCCCGTAGACTCAGATCTGCCTCAGACCATCAATTATCAAGTCTACCAGATCTGAATCTGACTCGAGGTTCAGAATTCTTCCCCCGCTCATCGGTTCCCTCCTCTGACCAAACACTAAGGTTGCAGCAACACCAGCAGCAAAGGCTGTACCGAAGTCAAGACCCTCGCTCTGAACTTGACCAACAACGAGCGGATCAAGATCAATATACTATCCATGGCCGTCCCCTTCAAAATTCACCTCCTGGCCTGTTGAGCTCGCGACCCAAGCCCTTTGGAATTTCAGGCCCCGATGAGCTTTTGACTAGGATTCCATCCAATGGTCCACGCGATATAGATTATCAGACCCACAATGAACTCCTCAGTACCGATGGGCATAATGCACGTCAGAATCCCTTCAGACCGTCCTCGAAAGACGAAGAGAATTGGTTGAGGAGGTTATATCTCAACGAGAAAAGGGAAATCGGAATTGAAAATGAAGAGGACGAATGGAATCAACTCGAGGCTGAGTTCAGGGCCCGTATGAGCGTTGAAGAAAACAACGGTTGGAATGATTTATTTGGAACTCATGCTTCTACCATCAGCAATGATCTTCAGCATCGACATCAGCATCAACAGCAACAGCAACAACAACAAAAGACTTTATCACTCTTAAGGTGATCGATTCTTTCTTCATCTATTTCCTTTTAAATAATTTCAATATATATATATATCTTTCTAGATTCCATTCACATAAAAAATTAAAAAATTCCAGCAGCTTTCTCTCATCTTCTACCATAGTATTTTGGCATTCATCATCTTTCTTGGTATCTTTTTCTTCATGTTTTGATTTTTTTTTGAACTTCATTGCATCTTAATTAGTTAATCTTGTTGCTTGTTTTGTTTTTGTTTTTTTTCAAAAAAAAAGTTTTACACTACACTACACCTTGACTCATCAAAATATATCTCGGTAACCCCCCAAAAAACATCATATGTAACCGATTTACATATTTAAACATTTTTCATTTTTTTTTCATTTTTCATTTTTCTTATTTACATATATATATTCCATGAGATCTTAAACAATATACACAAAAATAGCAAGCACCCTGTTTTACTTTTCCTTTTTTTCCTTTTCCACACATTTCCCCAACCAATCTTGTACCTTTTTTTCTTCCCTTTTCCTTTCTTTATAAATATTTATCCAATTCTTTTTTTCCCCTATTCATTCTTCATTCTTCATTGTCTTTTTGTTCTATTTTCCTTTTCCTCTTTTTTTTTCTGTTCTGTTGTGTGTGTGTGTGTTTGTGTGGAGTAATTTTTTTGTTTCGTGTTTGTGTGTGTGTGTGTAGGAAGGAGAGTGGTGGTTTATATAAGAAATATAAAGTGGATGAAACAGTTTGTTAAAACTCGGTTCTTGGTCTTGTTTTTTGCTTTGATGTCTGAGCGACGCGTCAAAGATGAATAACAATATTGAAAATGTAGATCTTGATCAGCCAATTGACTTCTGGAGAAATGTGAACTCCTCTGGGTTGATTTGTTTGTACTTGAGTCTGCACAATGCTTGTCCAAGCTTTGGGTCAATTTGCTACGGTATGTAAATCGTGCACACAACTGCTTACATTTATTACCCGTGCTTCGAATACAGAACTCCTATCTCGGGCCGACCGCGTGCAGGTTGCAGCAGACCATATGTAAAAGTCGCGTTAGTGTTTTTCAGCTCTTAAATTTCTACCGGGTTTACCAAAGTCTGAATTTCTTGAGACGGTTCGCTTGAAGAAAAACGAGGTCACGTTCGATCAAGGGCTTTAGGCTCTATTGGTTTCATCTCGGATAAACTCTTTGGATCTTTAAGCGTACATACGAACACGAGGAATTCTTGATTGATATATTAAATAAAGATGTTAGTGAAATTTTATAACGATGAATGTTTTCAGTTAAACCTACAACGATTTACAAATCACTAACCCATGAAACTTTGATTTGAATTTGAATGATGTCAAGGTTATTAAGATTAGAAAGATGTAGATATCTATTGATTTGGTTTTATATGATTTTTTTACAAATTCAATTTAATCGAATCAAGACTGAAAAGAAATTAGTTTACCAATCTGATGATGATCAAGATGAAAGGTTTCCAATTAAATTTTATGATGGGTTTATTGATTCATCAGTTTCGGTTTCGGTTTCGGTTTCTCAAAGGATTGAAGAACAGATTTATATGACACTTAAACCTAGAACTCAATTTGATTTAATCAGTTCTGATGTAGAACAAAAACAAAAACAAGAACAAGAAGAACCAAAACCAAAAGAAGTTCATCTTGGACCTAAAAGTTATGAAGTTTCTGGTAAGTATATATATAAACTATTTAATGAGATCAGGTGTTTTTTTGATTTATGCTAATTCTTGGGCGGGGGTTGGGTTTTGTTCTACGAAAAGGTCAATTTCCTGTAGATTTTTTTGATCATTATTATAATGATCCTAATGATCTTTCTGTTCAACCTCAACCCATCATCAAGGATCCCATCACAGTAAGTGTCTTAGAAAAACCATGTGAGAGTTTCATACTTACTGATCTGATGACTCGTTTCAGCATGTAGTTTATCGTATGAATTTGACTTCTCCTGATGAGGTACCTACCATCAATTTACGCGATCCGATTTCGTTTCCTCCGATATCATTAAGAGGAGCTGAAGCTGATCGATTAGCAAAAGAAGTTAAAGATCAAGTCAGTATCATATCAACTTCTTTAAATTTTCATAGACCTTGTACAATTTATTCATAGATCACTAACTTGGATATCGGTTTTAGATCATTTCGATTATTAATTCAAATCAACCATCCATCTCATCATGTGAAAAATGTCAAAAATCATTAAAAATTGCATCTCATTTATCAAAACGTGCACCACAATTGATTCCAATGTTAGCTATTGAATTATGTGAAGAGTTTAAATTTAAAAAAGATTGTGTAGATCAATTCGGATTACATTCACAAGGACCGATCATTTCACAAGTTTTAAGTTTTGCTAATCTTGGGAATCATCTTGGTAATAATGGTACTGGTAAGGATGATGGAATTGATGGACAATATATTTGTTATAATTTTTTTTCTAAAAGTAATTGTTCAATTCCAACTCCAACCAACTTAAACTTGACCTATTTTTTTTCAAAACCAAAACCAAAACCTCAACCGAAACATCAACAAATCAAGTTGGATCAAGATATTGATCAAAAAAAGAAAAGAAGATTAAAAGTTTTACATTTTAGTGATTTTCATTTAGATATACGTTATTCAACTGGAAGTGAAGCGAATTGTTCTAAAACTTCAATGTGTTGTAGAATGCCGATTCGGAAATCTAATGATCATAATTTATCTGATGATAATCAGTTTCATTTGTCTGCTCCTAGGTTTGGGTATTTTCAATGGTATGCAACTGCTTATTATCATCTAATCTGATAATTTTTTCAACTTCTTGACTTGATTTGACAATTGTTCTTGGTTGGATTTCGTTTTTGTTTCAGTGATACTCCTATTAGTTTAGGAATGGCTGTAGTTCAAGCTATACCGGTTCTGACAGGTACAAATGTGAAAGATGGAAATGGATTTGATTTTAGCATCTATACTGGTGATTTAGTAGCGTAAGTGATTGGTTTTGATTAACTTCATTCTTTTTTTCATTTACGTCTTGGAGATGGTTTATATTAAATCTTTGATGGTTTTTTTCAGACATGATAATACTAATTATTCTCAGACCGAGTTAGC